GATCGTTATCGACACTAGTTAGAAGATGCGTCGATTGTGCAGTCTCTGGTCACAAATGTTGTCTCCATGATGATGATTTTCCATAGTGTAGACTCTGCTGCATTCGTGCCGTTGATTCCGCAACAATCCGACGATCCACGTTCTCCTGTCATTTTTCTGCATGCAGATATTACCAAGTAGGTAATACTCTGGCAGATTTCTGACTCTGCAGATGATTTGCGCACCATATTCTTCACCAAATAGAGGAGTCCGAATTTGGTTGTCCAAATGTTGTCGATTGTGTCGAAGGCGGCTATTTGTTTGTTCTGCTCGTCATTCTCCCTTCGTGCAGAAGTCTCGCTCCATCTCGTCCGTTGAAGTAGAAGTCGATCCGACGGCCCAAACTCCAAGCGATCTGAGGATACTCCTGAGTCGCGTTCAGCAGCTTTCGGTACACGGGTTGACTCGTTTCCTGCAGCAATTATTGGTCGTCGATTTCGGCTGTCGAACGATCGGACGCTCTGAAGAACTTCGCGGCTTGCGAGGACCCGTTCCCATTCGCGATGAAACTCAAACTCGATCGGAAGGATGTCGTTTTCGCCTCGGTCGATCTGAAGCGTTGAATCTCCATCGGATGGATGTCGTCAGTCGCAGCTCCGCACATTTCCGCGCAACTCCAAGTGTCGTCGCGAACTGCGAACTCCTCGGAATGTCGTAGCGAGTGTTCCGCCAGAAGTGACGCGATCGCGAGGTCGAGGCCGTTTGCACCCGCGAAAAATAGGCACCGTCGATGCAGTCCATCGAACAGTTGGCGAGGCATCTCGCCTTCGAAGGGGACCCCAGGTGCAACTGCGAGAGGTCAGTCGAAACTTAAATGAAAGTGCATTGTACTTACAGGAATTGAAGTTTCGACTCCATCCTCCGCATGCTTCTGGGGGCCCAGCGATTAAGCGTTGAGCAGAAACCTTGGCTCTGATTACCCAGTGTCATAGGATCGAATGTGTCGAGGAAAGGTTTGCTCAATGTTCCACTATCAATCAGTACAAGGTGCTTTAATACTTCCATAGTACATCAGGTAACCAAGTTTATCCTATCCAAAGGAAATAGACCCTTCTAGAAATAGAATCACCCTGCGTATAGCAACGCGAGGCTATTGGCTATAAGAGATTACTGCAGGATTGCGCTAGATATAGCGCGCCATTACATCCCGAGCCTGGTCGGTGATATAATTATAATAACATGATAAACCAAAGGATGATGGAAAAGGAAGAATAGGAAACCAAATGAGATGAGGTAAAGACCAAATGAATCAGGATAAAAAGAGGAATGAAAGAGAAAGGAAATATGGAAATGAGAAATTAGTGTAACGGGGTCGTACTCTCACAATGCCTTACAGAGTACAACACATTAGCTCAAAACTATCGTGTACCCTTCCTTATAATAATTCTGCTATTCTTAGAGTAACGCCCCGTGAATGCCGCCTCTGTAAGGTCCTTGGCGCCGCTATCATTCTCTTTTATGAGTACGGGCATGAGCTGTATGAGGTCGTCATCTGTTACAAGTTCCAGTTCTGTCTTTTTTTCCTGGCGAACGTGCTCGGAGTGATAAATGAGCTCAACCTCAAATTCCAGAAGAGGGAGGTGAGCTTCTATCCCTGTTAATGTTGTAGTTTTTGTCCCATGCATCCACGTTTGGAATCACCCTCTTACTCCACTCCCTTGTCTGTCACTTCCATCAGGTCGATGTCACCAAAGTGACAAAGGACATCGACGAGGCGACAGGGGACCTCCGCCACCGCTACTTGGAGTGCGGAGAGGTGTTCGGTGGGGGTGTCGAAGGCACGTGGCTTTCGGCTTTCTTGGCGGTCTACGGGCGCGGAGGGGGCGAACGCGTAAAGGTGCGGGGCATCGACAAAGACGGCAACCCAGTCACGCACACCTACACCATGCACGAGAAGCAGATCGACGGGCATGCCTTCCGCAGCAAGTACCCCGATTGCGAGCGGCTCTGCGCGCAGTTCGCGAAGGACACGATAAGCTTCCTGAAGACGAGGATGCTGGACCTGAACAATCTCGGCCCGACGAAGCTCTTCCGCGTGTCGAAGTGGCCCCGGATGAAGCAGCAGAGAGAGAAGAAGCTGAAGGAGTACCTACATGGCTGCAGTGCCTTGTTCGACAACAGGCTGACAGGCTTTTCCTTGCAAGCTGCGCAGAAGGAGATGGTCACGTGGGCGCCACTGATGCTGAGCCACCATGCCGACGAAGGATTCCATCAAGGCCTGACGAACTACCTCGGCTCGACGGAGTCGACCTTGTGAGTGAGTGCTGCTCGAAGGACGATTGTTGCATATTTTTTTTGCGCTTTTATTCTTCCCTTTGGATGTTGTTTATCGATTGTTGACTAGCATCGCTAATGCACTGGTCTTGGTCCGTGTACTCTATTCCCCCAACCCTTTTGGCAGTCGCTGGCCCAACCTCATGCGCTTGTGGCAGACGTGCGCTGTCCTGCCGCTGAGCACCGTGGAGTGTGAACGAGGCTTCTCGCGGTAGAACGTCGTCAAGTCATGGGTGCGGGGCGCGTTGTGCAATGCGCGCCTCAGCGAGCTGATGGTCATTTCCCTGCTGCAGTACGAGACTGACTGGGACGAGGCCCTTGAGTGTTGGCGCGAGAAGTTGAGGCGCCCTGCTAAGTCTGTTCTGTTTTCCGCAGCGGAGAGGAAGCGTAAGGCGAAGGCGATTGAGGGGGCAGAAGTGAGGGTGGAGGAGGAGGCAGTCCCCGACTACATGGGGGATTGGGCAGAGGATGAGGGAGAGGGGGAGGGGGGAGTGGGGGGAGAGGCTCCTCGTGAAGTGAAAGACAACCCGTTTCTGTCCGATGACGAGGCAGAAGACGAAGTGAACATGGATGGTCCAGAATTTTTGTCAAGTGTAGGTAGTGGCGTGGAATCTTGTGAAGTCTAGACTAGATAGAGGACTTGTAAACTGGCGTGGCGTAGTGGTGCTTTTACTTCATTCCTAGTAACTGTACATTCCTAGTTGATTTTTTCCAAGTGCAATGCAACCCTGATTGTTGATAGCCAACCCTGGAGATTTCAGGGTTGTAGGTTCCAGAACACTGAGAAATCAAGGAAGTCAAAATTCCAACACTTGGCCCTCAGGGTAATTTTTTTTCTACATTCGACAGCTCAGGGTGCTATTTTTTGAAACGTCAGCCCTGCTCGCCTCTCCTCGCGCGGCTATGTGAGCACCCTTTACTGGGTGTAGCTGGTGTTTCGTGCTCCTAAGGGGCTCGCGTTCGGATTTCAGGATGCTGCTTTCTAGTGTTTTGCTGTGTGCATTTCCTTGATTTGGTGGTTGTATCGTTGTGTTGCTTTGCGATGTGTTTTCGGATTTTTGTGTCGTATATTTTGTCGAGTCTTTCAATAAGGAGCCTTTTTAGAAGTTGTGTTCCCATCCTTTGTTTATGATGTGTGGAGCGGTTTGTAATCTGGGACATGCAACACATCCATGAAACATCGCTCAAATTTGTGCGAGGAATCTGCGACGCCCCGTCGCAGCATACGCCAGAGGCACCAACCTTGTATAGTACACTAGAGACAGGTCTGCAACTCACTTAGTGCAACCCTGCCTGCATCGCACAGCCCTCCTCGAACAAAGCAATTTCCAACATTCTTGGAGCTTGCTCTGTTCGAGTATGAACTGTATTTAGAGGACCCTCTGAATCTCCCGGCTTTGTTTTTCTCCTGGCAACCGGAAACCGTCCCACCCCGCAATACACCTGGCCCACGTTATTTTCGACACTAGTATTTTCAACGGTTCTCTTTGCAGGGGGCTGTCACCCTGGGGAAGCATCACCAAAGAGGCTGGTTGAGAGACCCATTCGTCCCTCCACGAGATGAGCACCCCAGATGAATCATTGCAAACGAGAATATGGAGTTGAGGAGCTGTTGTGTTAGTCTAGTTGGACCTATTCAAGCCTGCTCGGAAATACTTGCGTTGTATTGTACCCCTACAAAACATACAAATGTTCCATGCAATAGGATTCCAACTTAGAGCTAAGAGAGAGCGCACACATATGCTATTCATAAACCGTATTCTGATATCAATGGAGGTTTCACAATGTGAGGCTAAATAATACTTTTAGTGTGCTGATTTATGTTGTGCATGATACCGTGAAGCTCGGATAAGTGTAGCTTCTCCGATTTCGATGGTCAATGGAGCTTCGTATCATCATGCTTTCGTGATTGTCAATGAAGCTTCGACTACCTTTTGCGAGCCTTCCTCCAAGGTTAGAGAGGACAGATAGGCTGATGTCAATTTGTGCTACTGCGCGCGGCGAGTACTTGCAGGACGAAAGCATGCCAGCACATTAAACGTTAACCAATCAAAATGATCCCAAACACACGCCTCGCCCTCGCTGGTGCTGAACTGGAGCATGATGCTCGTCTGGCCGACCATGCGACAAGAGAAAAGGCTAAATGCATAAAGCACAACTTCGTTGACTCCGACGCTGTAGGTGGACTTTGCATCAGGCACGGCGCTGCTGTTGCTTCAGCAGCTGCCCGGGCGAAAAGGCCAAACCTGTACAGTACCCTGCAGATTTGGGATGCTTGTGCGATTGTGTGGTAGTTTTCTTTGGAGGGATTCCACCGAGCTTTTCGAGAGATGAATAGTTTTTTAGGGCTAAATAGAAACTCCCACATTCCCCGTTAGGATGCTCTGTATGTACATATGAGATTTTGAAGACATGCAACATTTGAGAAAACTATAATTAATAGCACTAAGTGAGTGTAGTGATTTGCGACGGATTATAAAAACGTCCTAGATAATGCGTCAGATTTGTAGTTCGTGAACCGATTTTACTTCATTTTGACAATAGCCTCTTATTTGACGTCAGCGACTTCTCACGGGGATGCTTCCTGCTGCCTTGGGTGCATGGTGAGGTGGTGGCTGCGGGTTGTGCTCCGCGCGAAACCATTACTGTAACTGGACCTGACGAGCAAGTCTATCACAGGGAATGAAAACGAACCACCCTTCAGTTCACAGCCATTCTTCGATGCGTGTTCAAGGTTTTGAACAGTTTTGTAGAAGTTTGCCACATTCAAGTTGGACGCCATGCCAGGCGACTTACCAGGTAAGCTTCAGACTGCTGCATCACCCTGCATTCGTTTTCCGTAAGCGTTTCGGTCACGGTCGAAAGGCGACCTGTAGCCTGGCGTACTTTGCAACTGTTTCTACGTCTATGCATCAATCCTAATGGCTGTTTTCCGTATTCGTCGAGTCATCCGTTTCACTTTCCGCAGTCGCGCAAGGTCACGTGAGCGAACAGCCGAGCGACGCGAGGCATCATTCGGCGAACGGTAGTGCGACAGATGCTGGCGGACATGGGACCAACGGGAAAGACGAGGAATTTGGCGAGAACGGCGCGCTCAAGGGAAACGGGAGTGCGTCGGGGAAACAGCACATTCTGAGCGGACACGTGCTGCTGGAGGAGGTGCTGGAAACCGCTGACGTGGCGACGTTGACCCACGCGCAGCGCCAGGCGCTGGTAGAGCACGCGCTGAACACACTCGACCAGGACAATGAAGGATTCCTCTCCAACTTCGCCGCTAGGCTCGACAGGTGTGTTGCACGGGAACACGGACCGCACTGCACCACGCCTGTTTCCCCTGGCTCCGCCCTTCTTGCACGAAAGATGCATACCTATAGGGGGACCCAGAAGAAACTGGTCACACACACGCAGGAGCCTCTGGCTTCAACCACCATCGCCATATTATCCCCTAATCGCCTTCCGTGCTGCCCTTCCCTGGCGCCATGACCGTGCGTCGCATCGTGTCGCACGTCGCAGGGTGGGAGTGGCCATTCCCACGGTGGAGGTGCGCTTCGAGGACGTGCGCGTGGAGGCGGGCGTGTACGTGGGCGACCGCTCCGTGCCCACGCTTCCTAACTACATGCGTGACGTGCTCTCCGTGAGTCGCCGCTCTCCTTGTGTTTGCTTCTCGTCGCTGTCCGCACGTCAGCAGCTCGTTTGCCCTTTTGCCAGCCACCGTACGCTCCTTCTGTTTTCAGCTTCGCATTGTACACACTGATTGCCGAATGATTCTTCTCAACGCGCCCCGTCCTCGCTCCTCATCCTTTTCGGCCAAACATCCGCAACACTGCCACTCATTTATCTCAACACTCCACCTTCTCCCTGTTTCTCCCTCCTCTCCCCCCTTCCCCCTCTTCCCCTCCCCCCCTCCTCCCCCGCCGTCACCTCCTCCTGCAGCAACTGCCCCGCGCGTTGCATCTGCTGCCCGACTCGCGGCAGCGCCTTCCCATTCTCAACGGCTGCTCGGGCATCCTCAAGCCGGGCAGGTAAACATTGCTTCGATGCCATGATGCGAGGCGGGTACGGCAGGGTTGCTGCACGCCATGCATCTCACCCACAGCACCTGCACCGCAGGCATAGGTCCTCCATGCACCTCCTTCCATAGCCGTCCGTCCTTTCAGTCCGTTGTTTCCAGAGGCCGATACTCGGCTCCTTACGGTTTTTTTTCCCTTGGTCGTGGCCGTCTGCAGGTTGACTCTTCTACTGGGGCCTCCCGGGGCCGGCAAGAGCACTCTCCTGCAAGCGCTGGCGGCGCTGCTGCCCAAGGACGTTAAGGTGCGCGGCGGCTGCTGCTGCTGCTGCTACTGCTGCTGCCCTCCTTGTCGCTTGCACGTCCACGACGCCTCCGTCTTGTTGTTTCCCCGCCTCCAATCCTTGTCCGGTCGTCCCCTTGTGTTGCACCACTTCGTCTCCTGGACTCTTCCTCTCCTCTCCAATCCCTTGCACCACCACCTTCCTCTTCTCCGTCTCTCCTCTTTCCATGCACACCCCTTCTGTTCCTCTACACTCCGAGTGTCTTCTTTCTTATGCGACCTCCTCGTCCCTGCCGTGCTTTCCCCCGGTTTTTCTTTCTTGGCTGTGGCCCTCCCCCCCTTGCGGCACCAGTCGTCGGGCACGGTGACGTACAACGGGCACGAGCCGGGGGAGTTCTACCTGCAGCACACGGCAGCGTATGTGCCGCAGACGCAGGCGCACATAGGCGAGATGACCGTCCGAGAGACGTTCGACTTCGCCGCCTGCATGCAGGGACCTGCCTACCGCAAGGGTACGTGGCCGCCGCTGGCAGGCAGAGCTCGGGCGGGTGGCGTGCTGGGATAGGCCCAGGGCAAGGGTTTGTAGCATGGTGCAATGTGGCTAGAGCGAGGGTGAGAGGTGTGTGTTTACATGCTGGCAATCATGTTCGTTCTCTCTGCTTTCGTGTGCAGATCTTGTGAGGGAGGTGGAGGAGAAGGAGAAGGAGGCGGGCATAGAGGCGGACCCTATCATGCAGCAGATGATGAGGGTGAGTTTCGCCTCACGCTCTTCCACCCTCTGCACCTCCACTCTCTGCTATCTCTCACGCCATCCTTCCATTCTCCCCTGCTGAGCAACCTCCCTCTATCATGCAAGCTCTGCCTGCCCCCTTACCACGGCAGGACAACTAACCTTCCCTTGTCCACCTCCTCTTCGTCCTCCTCTCCACCTCTTGTTCTCCACCTCCGGCGGCCGCGGTTGGGTGCAGGCCATGGCATTGGAGGGGAGTGCTTCAAGTGTCGTCACGGACTACATTATTCACGTGAGTGCCACGGCGAGAGGGGAGATGGGTACAGGATGGGGGTTCAAGGTATGGGATTTGGGGGAAGACGTGAGAGTGTGAGAGGGGCTTCAAGGAAGCTGATGTCAGAAACATAAAAAAAGATTCACCAGGCATGCTGAGCATTCCACACGCCCGGAGGTTCAACCGTGAAACCGTTCCTCTTGGCATGCATTCTCCCCCCACTCCCTCCCCGGGCGCCCCCCCCACTGACCTTCGCACCCCGTCCCGTGTTTCCCCATCGTTTCTGTTCCGTGTGTTCCGTGTGTTCCGTGTGTTCCTGTTTCTTTTCATGTGTAATCATCTGCCACGTGCCTCACTTCGTGTCCTCGTTCCCTTCTGCCCTTGCCACCTCATCGTCCCTCTCCCCTGCTCTCTGTGTGCGTGCGTCAGATCCTGGGGCTGGACGTGTGTGGGGACACAGTGGTGGGCAGTGCGCTCAGGCGCGGCATTTCAGGCGGGCAGAAGAAGAGAGTGGCCACGGGTACGCATGCCGTGCCATGGAGGTTGCATGCATGCACATGTGGGGTGAAGGGATGTGATGGGGTTTGCACGCAAGTGTGATTGCATATCATGGCAGCATAGAGCATAGCTTGAGTCGCAAGCTGCTGCCATGGCTCCTTCCACTGCTAACTTCTTTTTCCCCTCAATCGCCCCTTAACTCTCACAACCAGTAACCCTCCTTCCCGTGGCCCCCCCCACCTCCCCCCCCCGCCTCCCCCTCCCTCCTCCTCTCTGCATGGCGCCAGGTGAGGCGCTGGTGTCGGCGAAGCAGGTGCTGCTGCTGGACGAGATCAGCACGGGGTTGGACTCGTCCACGACGTTCCTCATCACGCGCTGCCTGCGCCACATCTCGCACCTGCACCGCGCCACCACGCTCGTGGCTCTCTTACAGCCCGCGCCCGAGACGTACGAGCTGTTTGACGATGTGCTGCTGCTGGCCGAGGGCCACGTGGTGTTCCACGGGCCCCGGGAGGCCGTGCTGCCCTTCTTCCGCTCGCTCGGCTTCCAGTGCCCGCCCAGGAAGGGCGAGGCCGACTTCCTGCAGGAGGTGCGTGGGTGGGACCAGGGGGAAAGGGGGAAGGGGGAAGGGGGAAGGGGGAAGGGAGGGGGTACAGCAAGGCGGAAATAGGTGACGGTGTGCCTCAGTTGTCACGGGCTAGGGGTTGTGGGGGGTCAGGGCAAGGACGCATGTGGTCCCTGACTGCCGGGACGCGCCCGTCTTCCAGCATGCATCGTGCTTCTCGACTTCGGGTGTTGACCCTCATCAATGGCTCACCACTCGCCCATTCCAATTCTGTCTCCCCGTTGCCTGTCTCCTCCCCCCCCCCCCCCCTCCCGTGTGTCTGTGTGTGGCTGCAGGTGCTGTCAGTGAAGGACCAGGGGCAGTACTGGGCGAACTCGGAGCAGCCGCACTGCTTCATCCCCGCACAGGCGCTCGCTGCTGCCTTCAACGACACTCAGCGCGCCAAGGAAGTGCAGGCAGAACTCTCGGTACGTCCTCCACTGCTGCACTCCTTTGCACTCCACCTCCGCCACAAGCCTCTGCAATCAGCAGCCCCTTCTTGTAACCCACACCTGCGTCTTGATTGTCGGCCCTTCAACACCCTCGTCCCAGAGGTCGCAGTCAGGATGGGTCAGCATCGCACCTCACTTAAGCCAACATCTTGAAACCACACCTCTCGCTCCCTCACCCCCTCCCACCAGACGCCGTTCCCCAAGGAGCGCAGTCCCAAGGGCGCGCTGGAGCACCGGCGGTACGTGCTGACGGCGCGCGAGATCTTCTCAGCCATGGTGCAGCGGCAGCTGCTGCTGTTCCGGCGCACGTCCTTCATCTACATGGCGTCCATCGCCAAGATCATCCTCATGGCGCTCGTCACCGCGACCGTCTTCCTCTTCCCCGAGATGTCCGTGTCAGTAGCAGGCGGGCAGATCTACCTGGGCGCCATCTTCTTCGGCCTCATCGTCATGCTCTTCAACGGCGGGTCCGAGACGCCCATTCTGATCGAGCGCCTGCCCATCTTTTACCGCGAGAGGGATGCGCTGCTGTACCCCGCGTGGTCGTATGCCATTCCCATGGCGCTCATCTCCATACCGTACTCGTTCGCGCTCGCCATCGCCTGGACGTCCATTGTCTACTACCTCGTTGGCTTCGCTCCGCAGCCTGACCGGTATGCATGTTGCTGTGCTGTGCGGACGCATGCTGTGGGGTGGCGTGGCACGATGAGGTGTTGTGCAACATGGTTACACATGATGGCTATGCAGAGAGGCCTCTGGACTTGTTGGTTGCGGTGTCATCTGCTGTTCTTGTGGTGGTTGGTTAGAATTAAATAATCCTCTAAATAGTGGCTGATGTGCTTGCATATCAGTCTTCTGGCTACGCCTTTCTTTCCCAACATAGCCGAACTGCCACGTGCGCCTTTCTGTCTACTTCTCGCCTGCCCCCCAATAGTCTTGAACGTACTGCTGCATTGATCTGCATCGCTTTTCACTTTCGTGATGACTGTTGGCATCTCACAACGCCCCCAAACTCCTCGCGTCTCCCTGTGCGGCGGTACTGCAGGTTCTTTGCGCAGCTGCTCATGTGGTTCCTCATCCACCAGGTCGGCATGTCGCTCTTCCGCTTCGTCGCCAGTGTGGGCCGTAGCCGCGGCGTGTCCAACACCTTTGGCGTCTTCGCCCTCATCATCCTCTTCCTGCTCGGCGGATTCGTCATTGCCAAAGGTGGCACCCGCATGCACTCACATTCCACTTCACCCTGCACTGAACCCAACGCCATCCCCAATTCCACAATGGTCGCACCATTTTTCCGCCTTGCCCAATCGCTGGCACTGTCTCTCAACCACCTCCTCTCACCCCCGTCCGTCCTCCCGTTGCAGAGAACATCCCCCCCTGGTGGATCTGGGCGTACTGGATGTCTCCACTGGCCTATGCGCAGAACGCGCTCGCAGTCAACGAGTTCAAGGCGCCCAGGTGGCAAGTGGTGCGTGCTGCGTGCTGGGTGCTTCGTGCTGGGTGCATGGTGCTGGCGTTGGATGTAGCTCACATGCACTAGCCCCTTGAGGGCTTCCAAGAGACCACAAGTGCGATATGCGCATGCACAAGAGAGCCTTCGTTCCTCCGTTTCCCCCGCCATGCAATGCACGACTCTCGGCTATCTTCCCCGCCTCACCTGTGCTCTCCCCCCCCTGCAGCCAGTGCCGGGGCTGAACAGCACGGTCACGATGGGCGACATGATTCTCATGTCGCGCTCGCTGCCCACCGAGGACTACTGGCGCTGGATCGGCATTGGCGCCTTCGTTGGCTTCATCCTCATCTTCAACTGCCTCACCATCCTCGCCCTCACCTACCTCAACCGTGCGCACCCTGCCCCGACGCTTCCCACCCCACCCCCCCCCCCCGCCTCCCCCTCTTCCCTCGGTGCACTTAACTCCCCCCTCTTTCCTGGTTGTTAGTCCTTACCTCCGTATGTCCGTGTCATCATTGCCTTCTTTCTGCTAGCCTAGCCCCACCTCTCGGCTGTTCACCTTCCACAAATGTGTCCAGCCTGATTCCCACAAGTCACTACAGGCCCCTTAACCGCCTCCCACTCTCTCTCCACTCTCTCTCACTCCCTCCCCCTTCTCCTTCACCCGGTGCAGCGTTCGCCCCGGCGCAGCAGGTGGTGTCAGAGGAGCAGCTGGAGGCGCGGCACGTGGCACGCACGGGGGAGATGATTGACAGCACCAAGCGCAGCACGGCCAGCAGGAAGCGCACCAAGTCTAAGGGCAGCAGGAGCAGCGGGGCTCTCGACAAGTACAGGAAGAAGAGCGCGGACAGTGGCGGAGGTCAGTCCCTGCTGCTGCTGCTGCTGCTGCTGCTGCTCTCACGGCCACCCCACAAATGTTCACTCCGCTGCTCACATCTTGTGCTGACCCAAGTGCAGAACAGACTAATTCTCACCCATCCCCGTCCACATCCCCTTCTTCTCCCCCATGCGGCCCGCAGACCCGTCGGCCCTAGCGGAAGCAGGCGAGGCGGGTGTGCGTGGCATGGTGCTGCCGTTCGAGCCGCTGACCCTCTCCTTCAGCAACGTGAACTACTACGTGGACATGCCCCCCGAGATGAAGGCCGAGGGCGCCACCGGCGACCGCTTGCAGTTGTTGCGCAACGTGTCAGGGGCCTTCCGCCCCAAGGTGCTCACCGCCCTTGTGGGGGTGTCGGGCGCGGGCAAGACCACCCTCATGGACGTGCTGGCAGGGAGAAAGACCGGGGGGTATATTGAGGGCGATGTGCGCGTGTCGGGGTATCCGAAGGTGCACGAGACGTTTGCGCGCGTGTCGGGGTACTGCGAGCAGGACGACATCCACACACCGCAGGTCACCGTGTACGAGTCGCTGCTGTACTCCGCGTGGCTGCGCCTTCCCAAGGACGTCGACACGGACGTCAGAGAGGTGAGTGCACGCCTGCAAGGTCATCATACAGCCACCTTCGATTGTGGAGTAGTCTGTGATGTCTGATTGGCTCCCTAACATTGAGTGCAGCTGCTTAGACTAAGAAGCATGTTAACGAATGTGTGATGTGTGCATGGCTGCGTGTGCACGTGGGATGTGGCATGGTGGCATGGTGGCATGGTGGCATGGTGGCATGGTGGCATGGTGTGTGCTGGCAGGACTTTGTGGAGGAGGTGATGCAGCTGGTGGAGCTGGAGGCGCTGCGCGGCAGCATAGTGGGGCTGCCGGGGGTGAACGGGCTGTCCACGGAGCAGCGCAAGCGCCTCACCATAGCGGTGGAGCTGGTGGCCAACCCCTCCATCATCTTCATGGACGAGCCCACCTCAGGGCTGGACGCCAGGGCGGCGGCCATCGTCATGCGCACCGTGCGCAACACGGTCAACACGGGCCGCACCGTGCTGTGCACCATCCACCAGCCCTCCATCGACATCTTCGAGGCCTTCGACGAGGCATGTCCAAGCCCCCTCACCTCTATACTCCCCACGCGCCCCCTAGTTGCGTTATTGCAGCCACCACCTGCAGCATTATCCCACAAGCCCTCTCCCGATCCCCTGTCTGGATGCTCTCCCCCCTGCCTGTGTCCCTGCAGCTGCTGCTCATGACGCTGGGAGGCCAGGTCACGTACTTCGGCCCTCTGGGCGTGCACTCCCAGCAGCTCATCGACTACTTCCAGGTGCCTTCCCCTCGCCTCTTCTCGTCCTCTCCGTTCAAACTCTTCAATCCATTCTCCATACCTCACTACATTGTCTCGTTCCATCACTCCGACACCCACCCATCTGCCACCCAGCACCTCCACCGCCTTCCCACTTCTCATCCTCATCCCCTCTTTCTCCCTCTCTCCACCTTCCGCCATTCCAGTTCCTCACCCACCTATCAACCCCCTCCCCGTTCTCCTCCCATCAATTTACCACCCCCCCTCCTCTCAGGCGGTGCCATCTGTGCCTCGTATACCAGCCGGCTACAACCCTGCCACGTGGATGCTTGACATTACCACGCCGGCAGCAGCGGAGCGCACGGGCGTTGACTTTGTTGACCTCTACCACAAGTCCGACCTCTTCAGGTGCGCCCTGCCTCCATCCCTCTCACACTTCCCATACACCGGCATAGTCACGCCAATGCAGCCGCCGGTTGTCTGACAGACACCTGCAGAGTTACACACGCAGAGCTGCTCTCGTCTTCGCCCCTCCCCTTGTCCTCGCCCCTCCCCTCGTCCTCTCACGTACCCCCCCTCTCCTCCCCCCTTCCCCCCGCCCCACCAGGCGCAACGAGCAGCTGGTGGAGTCCCTCAGGACGCCCCCCCCGGGGCAGCAGGACCTGCACTTCGCCACGGAGCACTCCACGTCCTTCCTCACGCAGCTGTACGTGAACCTGTGGAAGCGCGCCGCCATGTACTGGCGCGCGCCCGACTACAACGCTGTGCGCTACATCTTCTGCTGCACCTTCGCGCTGCTCATCGGGCTGGTCTTCTTCGGGCTGGGCAAGAAGACCAGCACCATGCTCGACGTCTTCAACGTCATGGGGGCTCTTTATACCACCGCCATCTTCATGGCGTGGAACAACTCGTCCGCCGTGCAGCCGCTCGTGGCAGTGGAACGCACCGTGTACTACAGGGAGAAGGCCGCGGGGCTGTACGGCGCCCTGCCGTACGCGCTGGCACAGGGGCTGATCGAGCTGCCGTACGTGCTGCTGCAGACGTTTGTGTACTGCATCATCACGTACGCACTGATCCAGTTTGAGTGGACGGCGGGCAAGTTCTGGTGGTACATCTTGTTCATGTTCATCACGCTGCTCTGCTTCACCATGTACGGGCTCCTCGCCATCTCCATCACGCCCAACGAGCAGCTCGCCATGCTGCTCTCCTCCTTCTTCGTGCCCTTCTGGAACCTGCTCTGCGGCTTCATCATCCCCCGCCCGGTGAGCCTGCACTGCGCGCTCTTGCTTGCTTATTCGAACTTCGGCCCACAGGTTGTCATGGCATTATGCTTTCTAAGGCATAGGGGGGAGCAGAGCAGGGGATTGAGTAATTGCGTTTTTCTTTTCTTGCTCGGTGCTGCCTGCTTTCTTGCCTGTGCCTCTTCTATTCTGCTGTCTAAAACCCACTCCCCACCCCCCCCCCCCCCCCCCCCCTGGCCCACACGGTCCTCCCCCAGCAAATCCCGGTGTGGTGGCAGTGGTTCTACTGGCTCACGCCCATCTCGTACAGTCTCTATGGCTTCATCGAGTCGCAGGTAAGGCGTCGGTTGGTCTTTTCTTGAACCCCTGACTACATGCACAAATGAACACATGTCTAATCACAGGCTGTATGGTGTGCGCATCCTGTCTCCCCCTCCCTGTCTGTATTGGACGATGCGTGCAGCTGGGAGACATCACGACACCGATATCGGTGAACGGGGTGGCGGGCACGCAGACGGTGGAGAGCTTTTTGCGAGACTACTTCGGCTTTGAGTACTGGTTTCTGCCATACGCCTCGCTCATCCTCATCGGCCTCTCCATTGTCTTCTTCTGCTGCTACGCCTATGCCGTGCGGAAAATCAACTTCCAGAGGCGCTAGGTTTTTGGGAGCACCTTGTTTCTGACCCCTGTTTACGAATAGAGCACCCTGTAGTGTGTGCTTATTTCACGCTCACCCTTGGCTAGCTGACGGGCATTCATGAACGTTTCAGGGCGAGGTTAGGCTGTGAAGACTTGAGCTGACCGTTCTGTCAGACCACCAGATATATTTACACTTGTCTGATTGTCCAGAGGAAAGCCTTAGTTACAGTCACCTAAGTAAGACCTCAAGCAAAAGAACTTGACGCAGCTGAACACCCATAAAACAGCACTCCCAAAATGTCTCATCTGCTACCATAGACACCGCAACGCAAGGCCATCATGGACTGGAGAGTGGTTGTGAGTTTTGGCTGATGTGAGCAGCCAAGACTTCACAGCCCGCCATACGTGCAACAGCAGCATCCACAATCAGCCCCAGCGCCGCCTGCCCCTGTGCCTTGGTGCATGTGCACGCTTCACATCCAGCAGTGCCTGTGCATTCCCGCTGCCAGCTGTGAGCATGTTCATGCACTTTCGGACACGTAGTGGAAGAGCTGTTGGCACCGTTGCCAGTGGTGCTAGCAGCGGTACAGGCAGCGGCGGCAATGGCTGTGGTGGTGCTGGCGGCATTGGCGACGGCGGTGGTGACGTGAAGAAGCATGGTTGAGACGAGAGCAGCCAGCGCATCCACATGGGGGTCACACGCACCTGAGATGACCATGGCATGAGGGGAATGTGGTGAGACGGAGAAAGGGGATGACGTCGGCATGAGGACCCATGATGCTGAAACCACATAATACCAGCACATGTTACGAGGTTCACGCGGTCCTCCTATGGACGTGACGCTGTCAGCAGCACACGGCGCAAGAAGTGGGCAACATCTAATGGCCCGAGGTGCTGATAGCTTGAGGCACGATCGGCATGGCATGTTGTACTGCAATGCTGGGACCACCCATCATGGGTGTCTGTGTCATGGTATGCTGCCAACGCAACACATACCAATGTCAGCAGTGCATACTCATGTGTCACCACCCCGCACCCACGCCGTCACATGATGCACCCATGTCAGCCCAGCCCAGCACATACCCAGGTCACTGAGCGCCCTCTGCAGGTTCAGCAGGTACTCTGAGTTGGGCCCTGAGGGCCCACTCGCTGTCGCTATTTGCCTGAGAGCGAAGGGGTTGGGCAGGGTGTGGAGGGGGGGAGGGGGGGAGAGAGAGGTAATGTGGGGGGAAGGGGAGAATCAGCAGAATGACAGAGAAGACAAGATGGTGGTTGAGGGCACTGAAGAGAAAACAGCAGGCGAGGGATGGGGGCAAAGGGGGAGCATGCACGTGAAGGGAGGGGAGGGGATACCATGCCATGGCTTCAAGGGGCGCTGGGCCGAGGTAGTATGGGTTGGACACTGGGTTATCTGATGCAATAAAACTGGCAAGGGGAACGCCAGAGGGCAGAGAACAAACAGGGAGCGCATAAGAGGCATCTGACTGCAGGAGGCATGGGTGGTTTAACGTGTGTGCAGCACGAAGCATGGCATGGCATGGACTGCAGGGCAGGGCAGGCAATTCACGTGGCAGCACTTACACCAGGACTCGAATGACGGGCGGGTGGGAATCTGATGGGTCCTGCAAAGGGCGATGGGAAAGGGAGTGGTGAGGCCCAGTGGAACGAACGAGATGGGTGAGAGCGGAGAGGGAGTGGACGCCATGAGGGACACGAGGAAGGGCATGGGTGTGTGGAGGGAACGGGTGGAGGGAATGGGTGTTTATGCCCTGCATGGACACATGCAAGGCATAAACACGGGGGAAGCATCTTCCTGCATGACAACACTGCAAGGCACCCATGGCACCCATGGCAGCCTGCCGAGCACGGGCATAGCTCACAGTGTGGAAGTCAATGTCCACCTGCTGGTCGTACTCCTTCTCCCGATGCAGCAGATACTGGTGGGGGGTCGAGGCGGCGCACACACGAGGACAGGTGCGGGCGCACGAGTGAGACATGAGAGACAGGCGCGGAGGAAAGAGGAGAAAAAAAGAGACGAAGGTAAAAGACGGGAGACGAGAGATCATAGGAGAAAGGCGGGGGAAAGGGGGAGCAGAGAGAGTGGGACGTGGCGGGGTGTGCGTCCATATTCACCTGGAGAGTCCCGTTTTGCTCATGCTCGTCCCCCGCAAGGCGATACGCAACGCCGTACTGGACATGCACCCATGCGAGGACATTCACCGAGGTGCGAGGACGAGGGGGCACGGGATGAGGATGTGGGAGGGGGGAGAGGAGAGGGGAGAGTCATTGGCATCGGCAGGGAGCGGGCAACGCCATGGACTGTGAAGCTTTCGTGAAACAGGTCTGAGCAAACAGCTTTCGCATGTCGATTGCACTCATTGCAGCATCGTGAATTGACCCAGCGATCAAACCACGCTCCTTGCCATGCCATGCACGGCAGCCTCTATCCCTACTATCACCCCCGCCAATCCATGTCTCGGGTCTTTCTCACAGTAACGGCGTCTTTCTCCTCCACCAGCGTCACTGTCCTCCCCGGCTTCTCCGGCGTGCCTCTGTGGTCCGTGTTGCCTGCCACGTCAGCCATGTTAGCCATGTCAGAAATCCTGCTGCCATGCCGCCAAGCGTTACGCACGCGGTCTGAACCACGTCGAAGTCCATGCGAGTGCAACGGCAGCGTGGACGAGAAACGAACGGGACAAGAGAAAGCGAGAGTGGTCACGGCTGGGGTGAGCGACTACGAGGACCTTGGTAGAAGACGCGTCGGTAGCCGCGTATGTGCCCGGGCACACGCGCAGAGGAAGCAAAGCCTGGCCGCCACACCAGTGAGCCGTAGCCGAACACCCAAATCGCCATAGCCGCCTTGACGCGCGTCGCTAGCGGATGGACGAAAGGGCCAAGAACGCTGCTAGCAATATGCGCGAACCTTGCAAAGGGATGTTGGCCTTGCTCCGATATGCGCTCCCTCCAGATGCAGGTAAGTTGGGATGTGGAAAAGCATGTATAGCACATTCTTTATAAACTGGACGCCATCCACTTCCAAGAAATCAAACTCATCCAGAGGGTGGCAACTTCTCGAAGCAGCATGCAATGTGAAGTCCTCCATAAACTGTAGTCATCCATACAAGACGTAGGACGCTAAAAAAGCCTTGCGTCGGTGAACAAAAACCCTGCCTCATAGGGGGTATATGAAGTGAAACCGAGAATGACGTCCCGGGACGTCAACGAGGGTGTAAGGAATTTTTCCATTCCTTACCGAGCGGTACTGCTATCGCATACGCTCGAACACACCCGAAGCCTCGGGACTGTTCCAGACCTTCTGACAGAACCGCCTCGGCTTCTCCAGACCTTTCGGTTCGACATTCGGGAGTTCCCCGGGCCTCGCTTCGTCATTTCGAGACCCTTCGATCTCCTTCCCGAACCTTACCATCGCAGGGTTAGACTAGCTCTGGTGTTCCTATATCTTGGCTTGCCATTCCTTGTATCGTCATTCATTGAGTGAACACTTCGTTATTCATTTCCGCGCTACTCTGTCTGTTCATTCATAACACCTGGTAATCAGAGCCACTTTCCTCGCTCACCCGTTTTCGTGAGTTGATTTTTTTTTTGGGGGGGTAAGTCCCTCACGTAAGCTGCAAAGCAGTTGCTCGCGAATTAGACTGATTAATTCGCCCAACTACGATAGCGTTTGCGCTTACCTGAGTACAGGCACATTACGGATTTCCCCATGCCCTGGCGGAGCATTCGCCAAATGGACCAAGCTCAATTCAACGAGCTTCGGGAGCAGTTCAACGCCATGAACACACGCATGGCTACAGTGCTGGAGGACAACGAGCGACTTCGTGCGGAAGTTGCTGAGTTACGCCAGGCGCGAGAGGATTCGCGTCAGAAATCTACCGCCCAAGAGGAAGTCGCTAGCACCGGACGTGTCGAAACCGTTTTGGACGAAATCGCACGTCAGGTGTCACAGGAGCGCAAGGACATTGAAGCCGCCGCAGCAGCTGATGTGGTAGCACGAGCAGCAGCCGAAACAGCAGCAGCAGACGCAGCAGCGATAGCAGCAGCCGCTCGGTCAGAAGCAGCCGCTACTGTAGCCGCACCGGCGTTTATGCCGATCGTGACGACAGCGACGATCAAACCGACAATGCCGCCCCCGTTCAACCCCACAGATAAGAATACTACTGTTACGGGCTGGTTATTTTCGGCGGAACTTTATTTTAATGCCGCTGGGATCACTGCTGACGAGTTAAAAATTCGAGTGGCTGTATCACTACTGCGGGGACCTGCGCTAGATTGGTGGCGATATACTCTACAGGAGGGGGAGTTTTCGGTAGGCGACACACAGGGGTTTTTCGAAAACTTTGGGTCTGCTGCCTAAGGGTCAACCGCGATTTTTGGATCGACCAAGATTCGCACGTGGAAGGCGTGGGGTACAGCTCTGCGTGAACGGTTCGAGCCAATATCTGCCTCGGACAACGCGCGCACGAAGCTGGACAACTGGCGCCAGTGGAGTTCTGTCCAGGATTACGCGTCAGTCTTCATGGCGTTATGCGATCAGATCACTGATATGCATGACTCCGAGAAGAAAGCTCGATTCATTTCGGGTTTGAAGCAGGACATTAAATGCGAGGTCCGCCTGCGACTTCCGGCGACGTTTCACGAAGCCGTCCGGATCGCAGACAACTTCGACGCGCATCGGACGTATGCGAGAGCGGGTTCCCGGGAGGGAGATCGTTTTCGTGGCCAGAATCCACGGCCCACGATTCACGGCGTAGTGGCGAAGGAGCACATGGACGATTTTCGCAAGGGGCAATGTTTCAACTGCCACCAGCCGGGTCACCAATCTCATGATTGCCCCCGAAAGAAGCAGATAAAGAAGAACGACGAGGACAGGTCGGGAAACGCCAAGCGTCAGTAGTAGTCGGGCCCCCTACTGACCCTGCCTCATCGCCCGAAAAACACCATCCCCACCGGGTAGTGGTTCCGATACATGCTATCAACCGCTCCCGGCTGAATAAGGGAGATGAACCAGTGGACCACCCTGTACTGGCGGAGGGACGAATCAACGGACGAAAAAATCAAAATATTCATCGACAGAGGTGCGAGCCACAGCCTGATAAATCGAGAGACAGCACGACGACTACACCTGACGCTGGAGCGGTGTCTACCCGAAATCGATGCGCGATTGGTGGACGGCACCCCGCTGGCGATCCGCGACAAAGCACCCATCGTTCGAATGAAGTGTGGCGACGATTTTGGTTTCAACGCGCCGATGTTGGCGACAACACTCGACGGCTACGATGTGCTATTGGGACGCGATTGGCTGCGGAGATTCAACCCGCAGATCGATTGGACGACAGGCGAGTGCACAGTGAAGTGCGAAAAAGGCTGGCGAAAACTACCGACGTGGCCGGAAGCAGAGACGACCTCGACACGAATCAACGCGGTGTGCCTCAAGCGAGCGGTCAAGAATGGAGCGGATTTGTACGCCGTCCATCTAACCGAATCGACGGAACAAAACGAGGCGACCGACATCAACAAACTCTGCGATTCGGTCCCGGATGACTTGGCGAAAATCATTCGGGAATATCCTGAGATTTTCCCTGACGGCTTGCCAAGTGGACTGCCACCCGAACGACCCCAGGACCACAAAATCGAGCTCGAGCCCGGCGCGCAGCCTACTGTACGCACGCAATGGCGCCTGACTCAGCCGGAGCTACAGGAGTTACGGAACCAGTTGGACTACCTGCTGGCGAAAGGGTTCATTCGGCCGAGCACGTCTCCGTTCGCAGCCCCGATCCTGTTCACACCAAAAAAGGACGGCGGACTTCGCATGTGTACGGATTATCGCGCCCTTAATCGGGTAACGATAAAGTCACGCTACCCAATACCAAGCACGGACGAACTGATCGACAACCTTCGCGGAGCTCGTTACTTTTCGAAGATCGACCTTCGTGGCAGTTACCATCAAATTCGAGTGTTCGCTAACGACTGTCACAAGACCGCGTTTCGTACTCGCTATGGGAGTTACGAATACACGGTGATGCCGTTTGGATTAACGAACGCCCCCTCGACGTTTCAACTCACCATGAACGGGGTGTTCCACGATCTACTCGACAAATGCGTGATCATTTACCTGGACGACATCCTGATCTACAGCAAGACCCGGGAGCAGCATTTAAAAGATTTGGAAGCGGTTTTTCAGCGGTTGCAGCAGCATCGACTCATCACCAAGGGCTCCAAGTGCGAGTTTTTAAAACAAGAACTGGAGTTCATGGGGCACGTGATCTCCACGGAAGGGATTCGAATAGACCCGAAAAAACTCAGGGCTCTTCAGGAATGGAAACCACCCACAAATCTGCAGCAGCTGCAATCATTTTTGGGTTTCGTGAATTACGTGCGACGGTTTATACCCAACATGGCGGGGTTAACTGGACCTCTAACCGACCTACTGCAGAAGGGGACTTTTTACGAGTGGGGGGAGAAGCAGCAAGCTGCGTTCGACGCATTAAAAAATCTTTTAATGTCGCCACCGGTACTTCGCATCGCTGACCCGGAACGGCCCTTCGAGGTCATCACCGACGCAAGTGACATCGCCATCGGAGCAGTGCTCAACGGGCTTCAACCAATTGCGTACGAGTCTCGGAAAATGCAATCTGCTGAGCGCAACTACCCTGTACACGACAAGGAGATGCTGGCAATCGTCCACGCGTTCAAAATCTGGAGGTGCTACCTGACTGGAGCAGACGTGACGGTGCGAACCGATCACAAATCACTACAGTACCTGAGGGCGCAGCCGAATCTCAACCCGCGGCAGATACGCTGGTTGGACTATCTGGAGTCCAATTTCACGTACAAGATCACGTACAAAAAGGCGCCAACAATATTGCCGACGCCCTTTCCAGACCATCTGCCCAACTCGCAGCAGTACTAGTCGCCCAGAGCAACCCGCTACTGAGTGGACTATTTACCCACGGGTATTCGACTGACCCCTTCTTCGTAAATGACGGCCATCTCCCAATCACTACACGGAAAGGCGTCTATTACTTACGAAGTGGAACATATCGAATTTGGGTCCCAAGTTATCGTCTACTTCGCGAATTACTAATTCAAGAAGTCCACGATTCGAATTTATCGGGACATTTCGGGGTTGATAAAACTCTGAAGGCGTTGCAGCGGTTTTATTACTGGCCAGATATGGTGACGGACGTGCAGCGTTACGTGGCCGCGTGTCCGATCTGCCAGCGCATGAAATCCTCACACCAGCGACCTACAGGACTGTTGCAGCCCCTCGAGCCACCTCAACGCCCATGGCAACACGTAACGATGGATTTCGTTACGGGACTACCGGCCGGACCTAGCGGAAACGACGCGGTTTTGGTTGTCGTCGATCGATTGACGAAAATGGCGCATTTCGCACCATGTCGTACAACCATCACAGCCGAAGAAACAGCGCGCCTGTTCATCTCGACCGTTGTTCGTCTACACGGGATACCAGCAGTAATCATTAGCGACCGAGATCTGAAGTTCACGTCAAAATTCAGGCAGGACACGTGGGCTCGGTACGGCACGCGTCTACAGTTCTCATCCGCTTATCCTCCCCAAACGGACGGCCAGACGGAAAGGACAAATCAAGCGATGGAGCAGCTGATTCGGACAAACTGCCCCGACCGGAAAAAATGGGAGGACGTGCTGCCCATGTTGGAATTTTCCTACAACAACGCGCCCTCGGCTACGACTAATCACTCCCCGTTTTATCTCAATTACGGGATGGACCCTACAGTACCAGTCTCCACCAACGTTGAGAGTCAAGTATCACGATCGCAACAGTTCGTCGAAGAATTACAGACTGCCCGAGACAAAGCTGTCGAACTGATTCGCAAGGCAAACGCAACTGCCCGACGGTATGCGGATTTACATCGACGGGATATTACGATGACGACAGGGCAACTAGTCCTTTTGGACACCAAGAATTTACGACTGCCACTACCGACAAAATTACGACCACGTTTCTGTGGCCCATTCAAGATCGTGAAGATGGTGACGCCGGTGACCGCCCAGTTGCGCCTACCTGATAACTGGCGTATTCACAACAAATTCCATGTGAGCCTGTTGCGACCCTTCGTTCCTGACACGTCGGACATCGCCCGACAGCGCTTGGTCCCCGACGTACGGCCACCAGCCGAGACAACCATCGAGCCTTCGAAGATCTTGAGCCCTCGGATTCGTATCGACGGTCAAGGACGACACGTTGACTTTCTGATACGATGGACCAATCGTACCAGTGAGGACGACACGTGGGTGCCCTCGGACCAGATACAGTCACATTCGATACTTGCGAATTATTTGGACCGCAAGCACGTGGTTGATATAGATCACCTTCGCTAAGGGGGGGGGGTGGTGTAAGGAATTTTTCCATTCCTTACCGAGCGGTACTGCTGTCGCGTACGCTCGAACACACCCGAAGCCTCGGGACTGTTCCAGACCTTCTGACAGAACCGCCTCGGCTTCTCCAGACCTTTCGGTTCGACATTCGGGAGTTCTCCGGGCCTCGCTTCGTCTCTTCGAGACCCTTCGATCTCCTTCCCGAACCTTACCATCGCAGGGTTAGACTAGCTCTGGTGTTCCTATATCTTGGCTTGCCATTCCTTGTATCGTCATTCATTGAGTGAACACTTCGTTATTCATTTCCGCGCTACTCTGCTTGTTCATTCATAACAGAGGGCATAGTGTGGTTACCCCATGTAACAATCAATGTAGATGCTCTGTCAGTGTTCAGCGGAAAATACGAGGCATCCGAGCTGACATCCCAGCTCATATTGTGCTGCCCAAACCAATGCCCGTGGGCAGGAGTACAAAAAACAAACCAAACATGCAGCGAAAGCACGAACAAGCTCACGAGAGAGAGATTTTCGCAAGTGGAATGCCAGCACATCGAAATGACAACTGCCCGAGGTGTTGTCCAAAACGAATGCGATGTGCAATCCCTCGCTTGTTTCGCACGTTACAGCATTTTTGGCAAACCTTTTTTGTCACATCGCGTTTCGGTTTTAGCACCCTCAAAAAAGTTTCCAGCATGTTTCGCATTTCGTTTTTGTTCAATGTGCTTGTGTTGTGTAGCCCTCGGACTAGGCAAAATTGACGTCGCGCGGACGCCCCCAAGTGACGTCAAAATAGCTTATCGGGCATTGCCCGTGTACTTCATACCCCCCCTGAGGGTCGGTGGTGCATCAGTGGAAATCCTGGCAGCCCGACATTGAGTAGTGCTTCTAGGAGTTTACATGAGGGCAATTCAGCCAGTGTCGGGTGTGTTTCAACGGGTATTGCAGTGTCAATTCTGGAAACTTATGGGCATTGGCTTCCACGACGTTTGAGCTCAGGGGTGCGCGGGAGTCCCTCTGCACTGTACGTCCTTGTTGAGGGTGACGCGTTTCCTGTCAAGGGCGTGCTAGTGCGAGGTCCTTCCCACTCAACGCCAGGTCACTGGGCCAAACCTGACGTGGACGTTGCATCGCGGGGGACTTGGTTTCCCCTCAAGTGGAACTTGAAGCTCACACCCCAGTGACGGCTCGCCAATCGGCTGTTGACGATTACAACCAATCAAGGTACAGATTGAGACTGGCGGGAAAATGTAGAATCGTTGTGTGTGATCACCAGCCCGTGTCCAGCTATCAAGGACCAATGGAAAGGCCCGTGCCTTCCCATTTCCCCTCCCCTAGCATTTTGAGCCTTCACCAGCCAGCGCACTCCCCTGTTTTTGCGGCGCTCTCATGCCATCGCAGGTACTTTCGCCAACCACTCATGTCGCTGTGAGCTGGCTCTAAATCCCAAACGACATTGTCGCATATTCGCGTTCCGAGCTGAACCAGCTCAAGGAACACACCTGGGTAGCTTCCGCCACGTAAATGTCATGCGGTGGTCCCTCAGCCAGCTCGCGCAGGAGTTGATGCTTGCGCGGACCCATCATTCCTTCACGACTGGGCCTTTTGGCTGGTCCGTGCAGTGCGTGGGGGGAGGAAAATGTCTCCTCCGCAAGGGAACTCTGCTGGCGGAAGTAGTGCAGGTGGGTGGGGCGCTGTGCCGTTGAGGCAAATGTGGTTTGGAGGGTGTGGGAGGTTAGGAGAAACACAGGTTCGGTTTTGGCATTGCCACACCAGCGTCCGTGCTCCTATGCCCGTTGTGTCCGAACCTAGCCCTCCATTCAAAATCCACCAGAGCTGCGCCTCACCTCGTACCAACGCACCTCCTTGTCAAACCACCAGTCCTTTCTTTCTCCTGGCAGCGCCGATCCCATTTCTAGCGCCCCTCATTTGGCATTTCACGAGATTTGACGAGACTAATCCGTTGAGAACATATACTAGTCTGCTTACCTCGTACTCACTTGCGTTGTGGCTACTCCGCTTACCTTCCGCGTCGAGCTTCGACATAGTTGCTGTCATTGTAACTCAGCCGCGGAAGTACTCGGAAGCCTATGTCGGTGGCTGAAAGCAATGCATCTGTACAGCCTAAGGACACGATGAGACCGACTTGCTCCACACAGAGACACTACAGGCGGCGCACGTCGCAAAGACGGCATATCAGCTTCGTTGTAAACTTGCCACCACGCATGATGCATCCCGACCGTCCATCTGCCTCGCGATCGCGACTACACGGCCTGCGCTTCGTCCTCGTCCCCGCTCCAGTCTGCATCCTCCTCCTCTCTCTCCTTCTGCATCATCCGCTTCTCGCCTCCACCAGCGCTTCCCCCGATCCCCCCCATCTTGCCCGCGGAGCCCCTATCGTCCGCCCGCCCTGGACAACCGCCACCCAAACCGCCAGTCACCCACCACAGGAAGCAGTTCAAATACAGTCCCACGATGCATCCGTCTCTTCTGCTTCCTCCACTATTGCTGCCACTGGTCAAGTCTCTACAACCGTACCAGCAGCGAAAGCTGCCATTCCCGCCGCGAATGCCGCAGTAGATGTGGCCACGGTTCCTAGTCGCGAGGGCGGCTCGTTGAGTGCGACTGACTCCTCTCAAGCGTCCCTTCCCCAGTTGCCGCCGCAGACCAGCGCGGCGCCGTGGTTACTGCCTCCGCGCGCCGCAGATGCGCACACTGGTGGGAGCGCTGAGACGTCCGCGCAGGGTGGGGAAGGAAAGGCGAGGGAGAGCGTGCCGATGGTGCCTGTGGTGTCGGCGAGCGAGCGATGGGTGCGCAACACGCTGATCGCCGTGCGACAGTACCTCACTCTGCCCGACGGAAAGAAATGGCCGGTACGAGCGCGCTGCGTTGGGAATAAGTAGTCTCTGCGACCCGCAACCAGAAACGGACAGAAACGTGTCGTGCCGCGTCTTATCTTACCCTATGCCTCCTCGCTCTCCCGCCTTCCGATTATCGTTTCCCCCCGCGCGTCCCATCCCCCGCTCGCTCCCCCACCCCTCCAGCCCTTTGAGCCGAACGCCAAGGTGGCGGCGGCGTCCGTGCTGAGCGTGGTGGGCGCGGCGCTGGCGAATGCGGGCGGCGTGGGCGGCGGCGGGCTGTTCGTACCGCTGTTCAACCTGCTGCTGGGCTACGACGCCAAGACCTCCACCGCGCTCTCGAAATGTACGCGCGCCGTCGGGTGGCTCAGAAGGGGGGGGGGGGGGTTTGCGGGTGGGGGAAGGGTGGGGGAAGGAGGGGGAAGAAGAGAGAAACACAGTGGTGGTGGTGGTGGTGGTGGTGGTGTGTCGATGGGTGGGGTTGAGGGGTTGGAGTAGTCGGAAACGAGGGCGTCGTTGCCGCTTGAGGAAAGAACGACCCGAAAGTGCTTGGCGTAACGAATGATCTCATGAGTGCGCCCTCTCCGATTCCACAGACCTCTTCATCTCCAGCCGTCCGTCCAGTACTTCCTCACACGCACACTCCCCCCCTTTCCCCCCGACTTCTCCCTCCTTGCCACGTCACGCGTCGTGTGCAGCAATGATCATGGGCGGCGCCATAGCGAGTGCGTGTTTCAACGCGGGTCTGCGGCACCCCACCAGCACGAACCGCCCTCTCATTGACTTCTGTAAGCCTCGTTGCCGCTCCAACGCACCCTCTGCACCCACGCTGTGCACTTCGTCCATCCACGTGCCTGCGAGAGGGCTCTTCGCGGTGCTGGCGTGCCATGCCCCTTGTCCTCACCCTGGACCTCGCACCAGCCCCAGCAGCACGGCCTTCTGCGCCCTCCTCAGGTCCTTCCGCTTGCCTCATCACGTCAGCCCAGGCTCACAGCGCAAAACACTCACAGGCCCTCACCATTCCCCCTTGCCCACTCTCCCCCCCACAACCCCCCCCCCCTCTACCTCTCGTCCTGTCCCCCCCTTTTTCTCTCCCCCCCTCCCGCTCGGCACGGGCAGCGATCGCGCGGCTGATGCAGCCGATGCTGCTGCTGGGCATCAGCATCGGCGTGCTGTGCAACGTCGTCTTCCCGCCGTGGCTCATCACCGTCATGCTCTGCGTCCTCCTCTCCTGTACGCCGCCCCCGCCTCCCCCGCCTCCCCCGCCTCCCGCTTGCACCCCCTCGTGCGCGCGTTCACGCTCCTCCCTGCCTTTGACGCTGTGTGGTTCCCTTCTGCGCACTCGCTTCTTGCTGCATCCGTTGTGGCTGATGCGTCCTGTCGCTCTCTCTCTCTCTCTCTCTCTCTCTCTCTCTCTCTCTCTCTCTCTCTCTCTCTCTCTCTCTCTCTCTCTCTCTCTCTCTCTCTCTCTCTCTCTCTCTCTCGCTCTCTCGCTCTCTCGCTCTCTCGCTCTCTCGCTCCCGCGTGCAGTCATGACGTACAAGACACTGGGCAAGGGCATCGCCACGTGGAGAAAGGAGTCCAGAATCAATCCGGTAATGGCTGCTCCTCGTGCTGTTTCCCCCACAACCCACGTTGCCTTCTCCCTTGCTCTCTCGTTCTGCCTCGTTCTGCTCTGCCTCGTTCTGCTCTGCCTCGTTCTGCTCTGCCAAACGCTAACCCCGTCTTTTCTCTGCCGCTTCCTGCGCCCTCCGCGGTCCTCCTGTGCCCTACCTGTGCCCTATCTGCCCTACCTGCCATCAGGCGCTCTCTCGCTCGTCGTCTGTCTCCTCCCATGCCTCCCGCCGGCCAACCACTCCTGGTATTCCCCTCTCTCCGCCTCCCTCTCACGCCCCATGCCTCTCACGCTTCGTTCCTCTCTCGCCCCATTCCTGCATTATCCAAGGGGTATATGCACAACAGCGAACCCTGCAACCTTGCCAGTGCACTCATCCCAATCTGCTCTTTCCCAATCTGCCAGTACACAGTGATGCCACTTCCTCGCACTCGTCTGCTGGCACATCATCCCATGTTTCTCGCCACCCTCTCTGTCGTCCCACGCTTCTCATACCCTTCCCTCCCTCCCTCCAACCCCAATCGCCCAGGCTACCAACCTCCCTGCAGCCCCTACCGAGGCCAGCACACGGCAGCAGCAGGAGGAGGGGGCGGGCGCGGCTGGGGAGGGCAATCCCGAGGAGGGGGTGGCAGAGACAACTCCTCCCCGTTCTCCCCTCTCCCCAACGGCCACTCCCACTCGCCTCTCCTCAAAGCCCCTCCGCACCGCCACTCCCCCGCGCTCAAGCCCACCGTGTCTCTCGACTCCGCCTTCGCCTGCCGCTCCCTGTCCGCTGTGCCTCCGGCGTCCGCATTACTCTCGCACGCGTCGCTGCACTCGTACACCAGCCTGGACTCAGAGACCTCAGTGACCGTGCATGACCTGGTGGACCCCACCAGCCTGCCCGCACCAGTGGACGAGGAGCGCCAGGAGGCGCCTGGGGCGGGGGGCAAGGGGTGCTATACCTGTGGGGGGGAGGGGGGGGAAGGCGGTGCAGTAGGCGAGGGTGGTGCTTGTGATGCTGCTGCAGATGCGGCGGAAGATGGGAGGGCGGGTGCTGGCTGTGCTGCGGACTGTGGGGATGGTGATGCTGCTGCTGCTGCCCCCGCTGCTGATGGTGCTGCTGGGGATGGTGATGATGATTTGCGGAAGCCACTGCTGGGTCGGTTGAGGGGCACCAGGGCAGACGTGGATGAGGAGAGGCTTGCTGGCGCTGCTGCCACTCTGCGCTCCCAGGTGCGCTTCCAACGCCCTTCCATTCCCCCTCTTCCCCCCTAGTTCCCCCCTCCAACCCCCCTCCCCCCTCCCCCGCTCTTGCGCACACTCACTCACTCTGCCCTGCCCAGAAGACTCATTAATCATCCTTCAACACTATCCTCTCCCTGTGCCCTCCCGCAGTGCCAAGCAGCTGCAGCAGCCCCACCAGCAGCACCGCGGCGGTCACTGATGTCAGGAGCTGACGCGGTGGCGGTGGCGGAGATGGTGGCAGTGTGGGCCTTCTTCCTCGCCGTGCAGGTCGTCAAGTCATCCACGGCTGACTGCAGCACCGAGTACTGGCTCCTCACTGCCGCTCAGGTCACTCCCGCTCGCACTACCCTTCCCCGTCCCCTTAAGTTCACCCGTGTCCTTGTTCCCACCCAGCCTTAGACTTACCATTGCTGCCACCGTCGCTGTCGGGTGTGCTGGTTACTGTGGCGTCACAGGGCTAATGTGGCTGCGTTGCCTGCACAACCATCAAACCCTAAACCCGAAACCTTCCATCTTTCCCACAGCCAGCGCTTTCTGCTGCCTCCACGCCCCCCCTTGTGCTCTGATCTCACCGCCCCCACCCCCATTCCCACCCCCAAACACCCCCCCTCCTCTACCAGGTGCCCGTGGCCGTCTTCGCCACGCTGCTCACGGGGTGGCGGGCGCGCGGCCGCAAGCTGTGGTGGGAGCCAGTGGACACCTCCCGCGCATACCTGCGCCTCTCCGCGCCCTCCACCCCCACGGCCACCCACGCCGCGCGCACCCCCAACCACGCCAACACCGCCGCTGCTGCCCTATCCATGCCGATGTCGCCTGTCCCCCCCGGCACCCCGCGCAACGTGCCTCCGCGCTACGACTTTGCTCGTGAGATCACGTACCCACTGGCAGCGCTTCTGGCGGGGTGCATGGGCGGGCTGCTGGGCATCGGCGGCGGCATGGTGATGGGGCCCGTGCTGCTGGAACTCAACATCCCGCCACAGGTGAGGGCAGAGGGGGGAGGAAAGGGGTACATAATTGAGGTGGGTTGTTGCTTGTGCTGGCTCTCCTGGTCTGCTTGGTCTTTCCAACTTCTAATCCCCGACTCCTCCCCTGCCTCCCTTACCACCCTCTCCCCCTCTCCTCCCACCAGGTGACGTCAGCGACGTCCACGTTCATCGTAGTGTTCTCCTCATCGCTCTCAGTGGTGGAGTTCTACCTGCTGGGGCGCATCCCCATCAAGGTCGCCTCCTACTTCTGCCTGCTCGCCATGGTGGCCGCCGTGTCGGGCCTCTCCATAGTGCGCTCCATCGTGATCCGCTCGGGCAAGGCGTCCATCATCATCTTTGCGCTCGCGTCCGTCATCGGCAGCAGCGCCATAGTGCTGGGCGCCATAGGCGGGCTGCATGTGCTCAACGACTGGAAGCACGGCGAGGCCATGGGCTTCCGCCCGCTCTGCAACCAGGTCTGGTGATCATTCCCGTGCCTGTAGCGGCCCCGTGCCATACGTGAAGGGGCACATACCCGTTTGTCAGCCGTAACTTCGCATCTCAGCTTGGTGTCTCACTCCGCTCCTCATGCTGGCACAATCGTTTTGAGACAGCCCCAACAGCCGCAATCCAGGTGCCTCTACCTGCTGCTGCTAGACAGCAGCACCAACACTGCAGTATGCTGTGCCGAGCTGCATGTTTCGCGAGAGTCAACCATACGTGACATCATCTTCTCGTAGTGTAGAAGGCTGTAACAGTCAGCTGATGTGCCTTCATCTCACACTGCCATTGCAACTTGGTGCTTTATGTTAGCCCGACAATTACAGGGTACTATTCACCTGCTAGGCCAGCAGTTATATGGTAATTATCATACTGGTAAATGTGTTATTCCAGTGATAACTTGCCAATATCAACTCAGTAGCACAGAATGAGATAAGTCTGTCGTACAGTCCTGCTGCATCTAAACGACGCTTTCTCTGGAAGAGTTTGTCCTAGTGTGTGGGCATTCTGAGCAGGTTGTGCACATAGCTGGGGTCTGAAGTGGGATGACATTACTGGGCGTGAAGCAAGCTGTTGAGGAGGAATGGTAGCATAGCATGACAGCAGTGGGATCGGGCAATCCTCCCAGTCCACAGGAAATCCATAACATTAGAGACGTGCTGTCCTCTGGCCAATCAGAAAGTACAACATACTAATAATGCCTATGCCACAACTGTAAGGCATACGAGATGCCACATCAAATGAGATGCCTCCAAGCAGGTCACAGCAACAGCTGGCTATTGCTACTTACTCGCCACAACCCTGGATCAACTTCATGGGTCCCTCGTCCTGCCTGCCTTCCCATTTCATGCACATAACGCCTGCCACATCCCAGCACCAGCACCAGCAGCAGCACCAGCAGCAGCACCAGTAGCAGCAGCAGCAGCAGCACCAGCACCAGCACCAGCAGCAGCAGCAGCAGCAGCACCAGCGCCTTCTACTGCTGTGCCACCACGCCCCTCACTCATTTCTTCCCCCCTCCGAACCACGACTTGAACTTGCCAAGTATACCACCGCCTCCTGGCTTCGGCTTGGGCGCGGGGGCGGGCTTCGGATTAGGTTTGGGCTTGGGCTTGGAGTCGACATTGCCCTGTGCGGTCCCCGTCCCCTCAGAGAGGGGAAGGGGGGGGGGAGGCGAGGGGGGAGGCGAGGGGGGAGGCGAGGGAGGAGAGGGGGGTGGAGAAGGGGGAGAGGGAGGTGAAGGAGGGGATGGAGGAGAGGGAGGAGGAGGAGGAGAGGGGGGCTTGGGAGGGGGGGGAGAAGGAGGCTTAGGCGGGGGAGATGGAGGCTTGGGAGGAGACGGGGGCTTGGGCGGAGAGGGGGGTTTGGGCGGGGAAGGCGGAGGCGGCGGCGACGGCGGCGGCGAAGGCGGAGGAGGGGGGGGAGGCGAGGGAGGCGGAACATACTTCTGCACGCAAACCGCTGTGGCGAAATAACTCCATCCGGCAGCTTCTGCCGCGGCGCCGCCTAGGTTGAGCGTCATGGCCGTATCGGCTTCCGTGGATCCCTCGGGGCTGAGCCGCATGACCGTCAGCCCTTCCGGTAGCGCCAGGAACGCCACAGGCGGACTGCTCGGATAGAATGCCAGCTCGCCGCCGTCCATCCCTGACGTCAGATACTGAAACGGCCCAAGATCTGCGCCGGCCGCCGCGCAACCGGTAGTTTCCGCGAAGGGCACGGAATCCACCGTCCCCAGTTGCACCTGATTGGCTTTGAATCCGCCGCCAGTGTAGCTAGCGGAGCTGCTAACGAGGATGTTCTTATGCGCGGGGTTCACGGCGAGCGACCCAGGAGTGCCCGTCGTTAACGACGTGATGGTGAGAGGGGTGAGCGATCCAGCGAGCGGCAGAGCGTAGGTGTAGAGCGCGTTAACGTCGAAGCGCAGAATGGCGACAAAAGTGCCCTGCGGCGAGCAGACCGCTTGCTTGGCGGGAAACGGAACGCTGAAGTACTTGATTGCCTCCGTCTGAAAGCCCCCCGTGGCGGGATCGATTGGAACAACCACGAGAAAGTCCGCATCGTCGGCTGTCCTGTGACACGTCAGCACGGCGAAGTCCTCCGGGGAACCTAACGGCCTCCGACAAAACGAAACGGACAGGCACTGGTGGCCGTTTCCTACTAGAACCGTCTCCGGAACAGTAACCCTGTTCGCGCTCCCAGCACCACCGCCGGATGCGGCGGCGATGGCGGCCTCCAGACCAGATACGTCGAGCCCCAAGACGCCGCCTGCGGTGTCGGACCCATCTGCGGCGATAAGCAGGTTGTCCGACGCGCCTCCGAGCGCGACGCGGGTGACAGAGGGAAGCGAGACGCCGATGGGCGGCAGAGGAAGCGGCCCGTCAGTGGCGTAACGGATCAAGCTGATGTAATTGTCCGCCGACGACGTGTACGCCAGACCGTTCCTGCCGACGGCGCAGCTGTCCAGTAGCGCCGCGGTGTTGTTGTCGGGGTTCGATGACTCCCCTACTTCGCGATGCGTTAGGAGGTTCAGCTGCCACACCTGATTCGTCGTGGCGCCCGAAACAGGCTCATACGCGCCTCCCGCGACTATACCCACGGGAATGCCGAGAGTCGAATAAGCGGGGGTCTGGGCGAAGGCCGCAGGTAGTAGGGACGGCGGGGACCGCACCAGCGCGCTCGCTAGAACGCATACCAGCGCGGCCTGCAGGACAGAATAAGGTGAGTAGCGGCCCTCCACGTGGCAGCCTCTGCCACGTGGAATAGGGGCCATGGCGCGGAAAAAGTCTCCTCTGGGCTCTACGTAGGGAAAAGAGCGGTGTTGAGACCATCAACCGACCAAAGCGTGCTCTTGATGGTGTAAAGCCCGTCTGAAAGAACCTTCAGAGTACAGTACGGAGTGCGAGTGTGGCGGCTTGGATGGTTCGGCTGTGTTTTCTTATGGAAGGGCAAGGCTGGGGAAGGAGAGCTGGGATGGGGGGAGGGAGGTCTAGTGATGTGCAGGGAAATTTGCGACACAGGAGGGGGGGGGAGGTGTACGGTACAACCAGTGGATGTTCAGGGAAACATGGAAAAGGACCACCACTTTCTGAAGAAGAGAACACAAGCACAATACAATACAGTCGAAGGGGAGGGAGAGGCTACACAGTCCAACAGATTTGTTAAAAGAATCTGCCCGCCCCCCAAACATTTCCTAACCGTGGCTTTGGGCCTTGGCCCGCGCAAAAACCGCGTCGCAGGTGCTTCTGCAATGTCGGTACCCTGACACCGCGACCACACCTGGCGTCGGAAGAGTGGAGGAGCCAGCGAAAAATCCCGAATGATCGGGTCTCGCTGCCAGCTGTGCACAACGAGAACTGCACATGCTGTCTCTGTGCCCTTTGAATAAGCATGTTTCACGCAAACTCCTACGCACACTCCTACGAGATCTCTTACACACTCCTTGATATAAACCTTACATATACCAGAATTCTTATTAACAAATCAGACCGTTGTGTAGGAAATAACTCAATATTAGAATTAATTAATATTTGAAAGCAACATGGGGTATTATTTTACAAAAATTAATGTGGGTATTAGATTTCAAAATATCACGGTGAATGCTTGTATGCATTCACTAGATGGTACTCCAAGCCAGGATTTGAGCTATAGCGAGGCCTACCATAGTAAGTCATATTCCCCAGCGGATTCTGCGCTTCACTTCTGGTTGTGTTTCACATCATTGAATCATCGACAGTGATTGGCTTGGTGAACAATTTCACGATGCCACGATTTGCGAGGTGCGCGGCGCTTCATCCGCGCAACACAGGCTCGCCATCACAGAAATCTAGGCCAGTCAGCGTGGCGGCCCGGCTGATGTGGAGAATTCCCGAGCCTCATCGACCGACCCTTTCTCTCCAAGTCTAGTCACGACCGTACGCGCACATCATCTCACCCGACCAGCATCAGCTCCGCGACGGCTTTCAGCGGTTCGGTTTAGACAACTTATGGCGTTTCAGCTGCGGCACAGAACATGCGAAAGTGACCAGTCACACGAGGAGAATTTCGGGGGCTCGGTTCCATCTCCACCCCATCGACACTTTCCCACAAAATCACACCTTCACTACATGCCTTTCCCTACCGTTCTCGGAGGTTCGACTTAGCACTGTAACCTCAACGAATGGATTGTATGCATATATTCAGGTAGTCGCCCTCATGAAACCTAGTACTAGGGGTAGTCTTGGGGTAGTCTTGTCACCCGCATACGGAACAGTTTGACAAGCCGAATCGGTTCGCGTGGCACGGGTTCGCGTCGCGCCATTCTGGACTGGTCTTCGTTTGCGTGGACGTTGTTTCAAGTCGCACATCTGGGCGTAGCGTCGCCGCAAACCCAGATCGAGCGGGGTCATGTCATCCATGCCGTTTCATTGATGGCCGAGCCTTCCCCCCCAACCAATCGATGCGACAAGACCACGGCCGCCTGAGTGGTGAAATCGCCCCCCACATGAAGTTCACTCTACTCACACCCTTCTCGAGGTGAGGCGCGAATTTCACTTCGAACAGGCTGCTCATCCCACCCACATTCCAATTACAACTTGGTGGTGCCCACGCCGTCACACTGCTCTCCAACACACTTATGTCCCCTCCTAGCTCTGACTCAGCCGCTCGTGTCCCCAGCAGCCCTAGGCTGTCACGTCGAGAACCGTTTTAGCGATTCCTCTTTCGTGTCATGCAGCCGTTTCTAGGAGCGTCTCTATCCCAGACTCACCCCGAAATCGCGGAAGCCATTCCTTAGCAGCTACTACTAATTAGCGTCCCCAATTTTATTTCACCTTCATTGCGTGCCTTCAAGACGCACATGGTAGGGGACGGCGCTTACCCGCCAATAACTATGAACCCGCCTCTTCGTTCAACTTAATCCAATCTCTCCGTCTCAGTCGTCGTTCGAAGCAGTAGCCTTCCACAGCAGCAACAGCAGCAGAGGGGTCAGGAGCAGGAGCAGCAGGAGCAGCAGGAGCAGCAGGAGCAGCAGGAGCAGCAAGAGCAGCAGGAGGAGGCAGAATCACAGGCAGAAGGAAGGTAATTCCAATGTGAACGGTACCAGCGCGTGCCCCCATGTGCGGCGACCAGCCGTGACAGCGCAACTGAGTCTCTCAATTGCCATGGCAGTGCTCAAGACACCGCCTGAGAACGCCAAAGCCACACCTATTTCACGCATCCTACAGGCGAGTCCTTCGCAATAGATGCAGCGGAAGCCATGGCTACGCCCCCGCACGACCCCACTCACAACATGACTGACGGCGCGTCCCACCTCTGGACGCTCTCCCCTCCACATGTCCAAGATAACGCGCCGATCGCCAAACTCTCTCCCGTCGTGGTTTGCCAACAGCCCGCTGGCGAGCCATCTGAAGCCGCCTTTCACGAGCCTTTCTCGTCTCAGCTCCGACTGCTGAGGCCATTCCACGGGGACTCGCGACTTTCTTCGTCGACACTCGGGAGGTCTGCGATGGTGTCGGCGATGGGATCGACGTGCTCGCTGGATTCGCCACTCCTCCACATCCCCTCGGTCCAATCGATCACGCCTAACGCTTCGCAATCATCGTTGCATGCATCGTCGACGTCGTCGCATGCCTCTTCCCCGTGCATCACACCAAGCGCGTCTGCGACCGCCTTCTCGGCGCTCAATTCCCCGCCAGAGTCCCCCCGCGCATCCCCGCACGCCTTTTCCGCCGCTGATTCCCCCTCTCTGTCGCCGCCCTTCACTCACGCATCGCAACGCCCCGACGCTCCGCTCCCTTCTCCCCGGCCCTCCTCTGCGACGTCGTGGCCCCCGTCTGCGACATTCCCTGCGATGCAACCTGCGACTGCGGCAACCCCGAGCAAGCACACTGGAGCTTCAAGCTGCTTCAACCACGGTTCCCCCCACTCCCCCGCTCCCTTGGGATGCGCCCATTCCGCTGCACTTACCGCACGCGCCCGATCCCCCGCTTCCGCTGTCCCCGGGCCCGCATCTGCGCCGTGCTCGCCGCTGAAGCCGTGGCGGGAGAAGCGGCATCACGCGGGAAGAGGGGCGCGGAGTGGTTCCGCTTTGGCGGCGGTGACGCGATGGGTGGTGGCGGCGGCCGCGAGCGGGTACGCGGGCGACAGCGTGTCACTCAGTGACGTGGAGGTGGTTGCGGGGGCGCTGAAAGCGGGAGCGTCGGGGAAGGCGATGGCACTGGCGGCTAGCGTTGCGCGGAGGAGCATTCGGAGGAATTTTCTGGTGGGCGTGGTGGCGCTGCTGCTGTGTAGCGTGCTGCTGAATGTCGGCACCATGACCGCCACCACTACCGCCACCACGAGCACGAGCACGAGCACGACAACGACAACGGCGACAACGGCGCAGGAGCAGTGGCAGCAGCTGCCGCTCTCTCTCGCATCCCTTCGCTTCCTCCCCTCGGCCTTTTCCCGTTCCTCTGTGACAACGGCGACACTTGCGACTTCTGCGACCCACTCTGCGACGGTCTCAGCTGTGGTCCCCCGCGGGCTGACTGCCAAGGAGAACGGCGTGCTTGTGACTGTATCGGGTGGCGCGCCAGGAGAGCTCTCGAGACGAGCTCCGGAGGCCCAAGCGGCAGGGCCGGCTGGGGTGGTGGGGCGAGTGGAATCTGTCCAAGACAGGGAAACCGGATGGGGTGACAGGGAAGATGGCACAGCAGTAGGACAAACAGGAGGAGGAGGAGGGGGGGGGGAGGAGAGCCGCGAGGAGGTTCTGGAGGCGAGACGAGAGGTGTAGTAGGTGCTGCCGCCGCGGCGGTTGGGGCGGCTGCGGGTGTGGTGGCGAACGGTGGAGCAGGAAACGAGGAGGGCAGAGGCGGTAGAGTGGTGGGGAACAGGAGCGGGGAGAGCGGTTGGGAGTGGTTGGAGAAAGTGAGAGGGGGCGCAGGGGTGGCAGCACAGCCGGCGCAGCTGACGCAGTGCATAGGGCGGTCCAAGACGCATAAAGGTGGCCGCTAGTGCACGCTAGCATGTCTGGGTGTGAGCACGAGAGAGTGAGAGAAGCGGAGAGGGGAACGGGCGGAAGTGGGGGGAGCGGGGGAGAAAGAGGGTGGGCATGAATGAGCACGGGAGGAGGGTATTGAGGGGCTCTCATTCCAAGCTGCACAAAGCGTTCCACCCTTCCCATCCTCCCTGAATCCCTCTCCCCCCCCCCCCCGTTCACTGGTCCTTTTCTTTAACTCTCCCCGCGTGTGTGGCAGTGCCTGCAGCGCGCACCAACGGCTACCTGGTGGTGACGGCCAACGGCGGACTCAACCAGATGAGAGCAGCGGTGAGCCGCGCCTCCACGCCCGTGCTCTGGCAGCGCTAGCACAGCGCAGCGCAGCACCGCACGACATAGGCCCTGCATTGCCCCTTGCCTAGAGTGCGATCTCCTGTCCTTCTCGCTGTCAAACCCACACTGCCCTCCCGCCACTCCTCCTACCCCCTACCCCCTCTCCCCTCAACCGCTCTCATGCATCACGCACCACCCCTTCTCTCGCCGCCCTCGCCGCTCTCTCTTCCCCCCCGTCTCAGATCTGCGACATGGTGGCCGTGGCTCGCCTCATGAACGCCACGCTGCTGCTGCCCCGCCTCGACCACTCCTCATTCTGGGCCGACCCCAGGTATGCCCTGCCCTGCCCTGCTCTGCCATCCCCTGCCATGCTTCTGCGCGTCATCCAGTCTACAATTAAAGCTCTTCTGATTGGCTAAAGCAATCTGCAAATCATTCGTGGTTCCCATCTCACCTCCCTCCCCTTGTCCCCCATACCCTGTCCCCCACACCCTGTCCCCCATACCCTGTCCCCCACACCCTGTCCCCCATACCCTGTCCCCCATACCCTGTCCCCCATACCCTGTCCCCCACACCCTGTCCCCCATACCCTGTGCCCCACCGTCCAGCGAGTTTGAGGACATCTTCGATACAGAGCGATTCATTCGAGAGCTGCTGCCCGACATCCGCATAGTGCGGTCGCTGCCAGCCCACCTGCAGTCCGTGCAGGCTCCGGAGATCCAACCTATCTCATGGTCCAACGTGAGCTCCTCCGTGCAGCACCCCCTACATCTTCTCCTCTGCTATGCTCCGACATTGTTCGCTCCCATACTGCGTGCCTCAAGTCATCGCACCTCTCCATAACTGCCTCAACTGCCACACTAACATTGCTATGTTTTCAGAACCCCCCACCCCCACCTCCACCACCACACACACACACACCCCGCACCCCGCACCCCGCACACCCACCCCCCTTTGTGCATCCGCTCTCTGCGCGTCCCCCCAGGCGTCGTACTACAAGGATCAGCTGCTCCCCGTGCTCAAGACCCACCAGGTGCTGGCCTTCCCGCTCTCCGACTCGCGCCTCGCCAACAACCGCCTGCCCGCGTCGCTGCAGCGGCTGCGGTGCCGCGCCAACCTCCAGGCGCTCGCGCACACGGAAGCCATCCGAGGAGTGGCGGGGGAGGTGCTGCGGCGCCTAAGGGAGAGGGGGCCGCGCTTCATTGCGCTGCACTTGAGGTGCGTGCGGTGCGGTGCGTGCGTGTGTGTGAGTGTGTGCGGCTGTGTGGCTGGGTGTGGTCATGCTGCGAGTGGTTACTGTGGAGTCACGGTCTGACCAGTGAGAGAATGAGACCAGTTAAGATTTTTGCAGTGGCACCATCATCCAAACGTCCTTCCTCCTACCCTCTCCCTCCCTCCCTACCTTCCTCTTCCTCCGCCATGTCTGCCCCCCCCATTCCCCTCCAGGTACGAGAAGGACATGTTGGCCTTCACGGGGTGCACGCATGGGCTGACCGCAGAGGAGAGCGACGAGCTGAGGGTGCTGAGGATGGCGGTTGCGCGGTGGAAGGAGAAGGACATCGACGGGGAGAGCAGGCGCCGCGACGGGCTGTGCCCGCTCACCCCGCGCGAGGCCGCTCTGTTCCTCAGGGCGCTGGGGTTTGGCAATGACACAGTGGTGTATGTGGCTGCGGGGCCCATCTATGGGGAGAGGGGCCTGCAGGTGAGATTCCCGCCTGGCATTGCTTGCATGCCGTTTCTCAGCAGGGTGAGGGGATCGTTTCGTTTCTTCCGACTGAGATTGAGGGGGCTAGGGTCTGTTTGAATCCCCTCTTAGTGGCGTTTTCACATCGTCAGATCTCACGCATTCTGCCACACACACTTCTCGCTTTGCTCTGCTTTCTGCCTCTCCCCACTGCCTCGCCCCTGAACCCCTCACAGGACCTGGTGTCTCTCTTCCCCAACACCTTCACGCACTCCACCATCCTGCCGCCCGCACAGCTCGCCCCGCTGCTGCCCTTCCAGAACCGCCTCGCAGCTGTGGACCACGAGGTCTCCATACAGAGCGATGCGTTTGTGTTCACGTATGATGGCAACATGGCCAGAATGGTGCAAGGGCACAGGAGGTTTCATGCGCACACAGTTACCATCGACCCTGATAAGTGAGTTAAGATTTAATGGAGGTGTCTCGAGGCTTGATGGTGCATCTGCTGTGCTTTTGGAATGTACTGTGCATGTGTATACACTGTGCATTGTGCATGTACTGTGCATTGTGCATTTTCTCTAGTCACTGCCTTATTTCTCCTACCAGTTTAGCCAGGTCAGGGTGACACATGCTTCTCCCATGCCACATTTTCTTCCATCCACAATCGCATGCAGGCATGCCATCATCCAAGCTATTGACGCCTACCAATCAGGGAAGGCCACATGGGATGGGACGAGTGAGGCCATCCGTAAAGCACACAGGCCATACCGACTTGGAATGCCTAGAGCGAGGAGGATGGGGGAGAACCCCAAACTGGAGGACTACTTCTTTGCTAATCCCTATCCTGGCTGCATGTGTCGACAGTCTCAGTCCACTATCAGCCATTAGAGCCAGCAGCGGTGCTTGAAGCCACACCTGAAGATAATCAGCAGCATACCTACCTGCCTGGTGCCAAGCATATTAGTGAGGAGACAAGGCCAGAAGATGGAACTTAGACGGATGGAGTTAGTGGTGTGTGATTTGACCGGCCTTGGATTAGACAAGATGATTAGACCCTCAACAAATGTATCTTTCATGGATGGCGAACTTTGCCATCCCCTCTCGACCCCCCCCACCCCCCCCCCCTCCTCCCCCCCCCCTCTTCCCCCCTTGTTCCTTGTGTCCTACCCATAACATTCTGTCAATTTCTCATAGCAACAAATAAGATTTACTGTCGTCTTCTGTTCGGGTGTGACCTTCTGCAACCTTGTAGAGAGTCGATGACAGGTGTATGATGTGTTCTCAGCGTGGTGGCGGATGCTGACCGCAGCTGGTGAACCACCCACGTCAGCACGAGGGATGATTTGCGTTGCTCTGATTCGCAGAAAGTGTCGCAAACGTCATGGCGTAAACGTGCGAAGGGCATCTGAAAGGAGGAATGTCGGTGTGGGTAAATGGGATTTGCAAATGGCATGTTACATGTGACCTGTACATGTCAGGCTGAAATCTGACCGTCCGTTGGTTAATGGCGCCCCGCTCGGCATGGGTGCAACGTCACCACGAGACAAATGAAGCTTCGGCAAAAACGGGCGAAGTTTCACGCCGATCAACCAGCTTCCCACGAGAGAGACGTTTTCTTCGCATTCAGTCGCATCGCGTCGCGTCGCACCTCTCAGACATGTTTTGTGGCTAGCATCAGCTTTGGGGGAAGGAAGAAGCTGCCACGCCCCCGACAGCTCCTTTCCCCCTCCAGCTGACCTGGAATGGAAAGACAAGATTCGAAGGGAACTCAAGAGCAGTATGCCTGTATTGTGTAAGTAAGCCCAGCTCATCGGCTTATCTCATTCATGCACTCCATTGCTTTCTGCTCTCGTTCGTTACTCGAGTAGTACCACCTGATTTGGCGCAGACTTTCTGCTTGCTGTAGCGCTTCGAGCAGCGAAGTTCGGTCGGTGACAAGCGTTTTCCAATTCCGTGCGTAGGAAATCGGGATAATGGCGGGGGTAGCAGGCGACTACTACGAGCGACACGGCCCGATTGCGACAATGACGAACGGCGAAGACGGCCACGTGGCGATGGCGCCTCGAGGAGGCTCGCACAGCTTCGCTAAGGCGTGGAGCAGCGAGCGGCTCTCAGGTGCCCAGGACTTGTATTCTTAGTAGTACAAGTAGACGAGGACTCCTCGTCGCACTGTTTCACTGTAGTATGCTGCTGCCACGTCGACCAACACTCATCTGACTTCTCGTTATTCCTTTCTCCCGTGTTTGCCCTCCGTGCGTGGTCCGGTGGTCTCGGCGCAGACGGCGAGGAGGGGTGGGAGGCGGAGCTGAGGCGGCGGGAGGGCGTGGAGTTCACGCGGGACGTGAAGCAGTGGCTGTGCGACCGAACGGACTTCGGCGAGGCGTGGAAGTGGACCCACATCACCATGGTGCGACGCAAGCAGGGCATGTCTGCAGCCAGTTTGCATGCGGTCATTTGTCGCGTAGAAACTCCATGATGGACCGGTTTGACATGTGAACCCTCTTAACCTCGATATCTGTTTGTGCGTGTGGGGCAGCGTGAGGCATTGGAGACGAGTCAAGCGGTGCAGCCGGTGCGGTTCTATCTCATGCCGTCGCACAGCTGCCTCTACAGCGCCTGGAGCTTCTGCAGGTCAGCCCTAGACTCCTGTCGCCATATGCCTGCTTCTTCCCCCCCCCTCTCCCCCTCCCGCTTTACATCCTCGTCCTGTTTTCTGCTCCTGTGATTTTCTATCCTCACTCTCTCCCCCCTTCCTCTCCTCTCCCATCCTTCCCCGTGCCTCCGTGCCTCTCGCGCCAGGCTGATGGTGGGGCACCCAGAGATCGTCCACGGGGGCGCCACAGCCTTCGCGTTTGACGAAACTTTTGGGCTCTTGTTCGGTGAGCGGCCGATAGACAAGGGAAGCAGGTGGGGAGGCGAGCTAAGAGGGAGGCACGACCAAGATGTAGTAGACTGGCCTGGTTGCCCTACCAACGCATGCCAGTTTAGTCGAGTTATTCGGGATTGTCTCAGCATGCCTTCTTGGCCACCATCCATCAACCCAAGGACGCGTCATTGTATCTGTCACTGCTGGCCTGACCCACTTCCTTCCTCTTGCCCTTGCGTGCCAATGCTTTGCTTTCCCTTGCTGTCACTTGCATTGCGCATGATGCAGCCACGCTGAATCTGGGTCCGGGATTCACTGCCAACATCAACATCAACTACCGCAAGGTGAATACGCCCATCTGTGCCGCGCTGCACCATGCCATGTCTGCACCATGCCTGCCATGGTGTTTCTCATGGCACTCCATCTGCAGGAACATGCCCCTTTGCCATGAACCCTTGCGCATCCCATTCTCCACTGACCTTCTTCCCCCATGTCCCAGTGGCTTGCACTAAAGCCCTTTGTTCCCACGTCTCACCTCTTTCTCTCACCACCCATACTCCCTCCTCCCTGGCAATCCGTCCAGCCCCTACCAGCCGACATGGTTGCATGCCTGCAGGCCTCCTTGGAAAGAAGAGAAGGCCGCAAGGTGAGCTATTCATCATTGTCCAAACATCAACCATGTGGGAAGAACATGCATCGCATTTCATGCACACCTCAAAGGACCACTACCTCCTGTGAGTGCCTGGCTCTCGTTCCCTCTCCTGCTACCGCCCTCATTCCTTGCCCTCCTCATTCTCCCTCCCTCCCCTCCACTCTCTCCTCTTTTTCCATGGCTCTCTCGCCCACCAGGTTTACCTGAAGGGGTCGCTGCGCAGTGCTCCGGATGGAGATATTTTCTCAGAAGCTACTGCTCTCTTCATCATCCCCAAGAAGCAGCAGGAGCAATAGCCGCAGGGCAGGGAGGCATATAATGCAAGCAGTTTCTTGTTAAGTACATTGCGAAGGGTGTGCCTCAAGAAAAGGTCCAGGCTCTGGAGTGAGGAGCTCTGAAGCATATAATTGACTGCTGCTTTGAGGAGATTTTCAACTATGTAATATCTACATAATGACATGACAGGACATGTTTCCTTCTCGGTGGTGCCTTCTTACACCACAAGGGAGGGGGGGGGGGGGGGGGGGGGGGGTGCAGGAGCTAGGGGACTATGAGGCCATGCAGAAAGTGTAAGGGAGAGCAACTAACCCTACCACATATGTAATTTTTTGAAAGCGTGTAGCGCTTTCTAAAAATGTGTATTGTGATAGTGTAGCAAGGGCCAATGCAGCAAAGGCAGCGGCGAAGCGCACCTAACCCTCTTTTGCATTCAACAGAGGAACGTGAGGCCTCTCGACCTCACCCACATTCTTCATTTCTAGTTCAATTTATTTGAGTTTCTCAAATGAAGCACGCTGCCTTTCAAGAGGACCTAAGCAAGCTTTCACAATACCGTTTTAATACTCGAAACCACGCCTAGCTTACCCTTAGCATTAGGCAGGCTACACATTCCGCCACGATTGTACAACCTACAGGGCAACAATCACTCACAAAGCGAGGACTACTGATGCCCAAGCAGCTCAAGCACACTTGGTGAATCCCTGCTGCCACACCGCACTGCACTACGCTGCTTCGCTACATGCACACACCTGCCAGCAGCATCCCCCTCTGTCTAATCCAAGCCCTACGATGCCCTAGCAGCAGCGCCATGGCCTATCGCCCGGGCCTGGCCATCCCCACTGACAGCAGCCGCGTTGCCCACCTTGTCCGCCTTGCCATGCGCCACCCCATCATCATCCCCTGCCAGCACCACTGCCAGCCGATCCCCATGCTCCCCACCTTGCCCCTGCCCCTGCCCCTTTCCCCCTGCCACCACCTTCCCTTGGCCATCCAGCAGCCGCCCCTCCCCGTGTCCCCCTGCATCACTCACTCCACCTGCCTCTCCCTCGTCGCCCCCCTCGCCCTCCTCCCCGTGCGGCCGGTTCTGCTGGCGCCACATGTCGGCGTACGTGGCGTTGAGGGCCAGCAGCGACGCGTGGTTGCCACGTTCCACAATGCGCCCCTCGTCCAGCACCACAATCTGAGGCGCGGGGGGAAGGGGGAGGACAATGCGAGAGGGATATATGGTGGCTGCCTGCATCAGGGGAGGATCAGCTTCCCCATCAAGCACCATCGTTTGCCCAGCACCCTTCCAAGCAGTGTCTCGTCACGCAAAAGCATACCCACTGACCCCCAACACCCCTCTGCACCGCACCTCATCGCACTGCATGGCGGTGGTGAGGCGGTGAGCCACAAAGATGGAGGTGCGGTTGCGTGCGAGGCTCTGCAGGGCGGAAAGGATGGCACCCTCCGTCACACTGTCCAGCGCACTCGTGGCCTCGTCACATAGACTGGGGGGGGAGGGAGGGGGAGGGGAAGTGAGGGGGCCAAGGGGTTGGGGGGATGGGGATGTTGAAGAGTGGAGAGTGAGTATAGTAGAGGATAGGGAGCGTGAAGTAACGGGAGCAACGCAGAAGATTGCGAGAGACGGACAAGGAGAGGAGCCATGGGGAATGAGAAGAGTGCCAAGGGAAGAGGTGTGTGCTGAGTAAGGGAAGAAGGCGATGTGCGTCGCAGGATTGAGAGGATTGAGTGCGCACAGGATGGGAGCGCCCTTGAGGAACGTTCTTGCCAGTGCCACTCGCTGCTTCTCGCCTCCACTTATCTGGAGACCAGTCAGCACCGGGCGATGGGGAGAGGTGGCAGAGGACGGAAGAACGTTGGAGGAGAGCATTGGGACCAACACAGAGTCAATCATACAAGGAAGAAGAGAAAGGCCGAGAGAAGGCAGATAGCTGTAGACAAACGAGCAACCAAACCGCTTTGGCATTCTTCAACCCCTCGTCGCGCCACTACCACCATGCTATGGTGTCCCTCCCGGGTCCCTCACACTGTCCCCCCTGTACCCCACCCCACGGCCCTCCCAGTGCCCCCCCTGTGCCCCCTCCCTGTGCGCCCACCTTGAGTCCCCTCTCCCCCACCACCGTGTTGTATCCCTTGGGAAACTCCAGAATCTGCTCGTGGATCGCCGCCTGCCGTGCCGCCTCGTACACCTGCCGCACAGGGGGGGGGAGGGGGGGGGAATGGGGCGGGGAGGGGACGTGAGGAGAGGGGGGGGGGGGCAGCACAGGGGAGGGGAGGGGAAAGGAAAGAAGGGAAGGGAAGGGGGGGGATGGAAAGCTGCATTTTGAGTCGACTCAAAATGAACCAGGGAAGGGAAGGGGGAGATGGAAAGGGAAAGGAAGTGAAGGAAAGGGAAGGGAGGGGAAGGAAGGGGAACGAGGATGTGGGAATGAGCAAGCCAGTGCAGGGATGATGGGAGGGTAAAAAGCCATGCACAGATCTTGCGATATCCCCTCGCCGCTTTCTTCCAACCCCCTTCCGATTCCCTGTCCCCTCACCCTCTCTCTCTCGGCGAACTCCTTTCCTTTTGACCCCGCCTATATAGCCCCCTCTTGTTCAACTTCTACCCTCCATCCCCTCCCCCCCTCTGGCGGCACAAACCTCTTCATCCGTGGCAGATGGGCGGCCATAGCGGATGTTGTACATGATGCTGTCGTTGAACAGCACCTGCGTGGGCACACAAGGAGGGAGGGCCAAGTGGTCAGAGGAGACAAAGGGGGAGGAGCGGGGAGGCGGGAGAAAAAACGATGGGAAGTTGAGGATAAGTTGGAGACATGGTCGGGTTGAGGAAACAGAGCAGGGAGAAGCGCATTATGAAGATGGCTGGCATGCCAAGCACCCTCACCCAAGTGTCTGAGCCCCTCAACCAAGAGTCTAAGCCCCTTGCCAGACTGTCTGAGCCCCGTGTATGAGGAAACGGGATATGTGGGCATGGGATATGGGGGCATGGGATATGGGGGCATGGGATATGTGGGCATGGGATATGGGGGCATGGGATATGGGGGCATGGGATATGGGGGCATGGGATATGGGGGCATGGGATATGGGGGCATGGGATATGGGGGCATGGGATATGGGGGCATGGGATATGGGGGCATGGGATATGGGGGCATGGGATATGGGGGCATGGGATATGAGCCCCTTAGCGAAGTGTCTGAGCCTCTCTCACCCAAGTGTCTGCATGTGTGACATGGAATGAGATTCTTTGAGGTCAGATGGGATGAGATGGGATGAGATGGGATGAGATGGGATGAGATGGGATGAGATGGGATGAGATGAGATGAGATGAGATGAGATAAAAGCGATGCACAAGCGGACTGACCGTGTCTTGAGGCACGACCCCAATGGACTTGCGCAGACTGTTGATCGTCACCTTGCGGATATCCTGACCGTCCACCTTGATCTGATGGGGGGGGACGTAGAGAGAAGTAAGTGGAGAGGCATGGCATGCAACCGATGGTGTCTGAGAGACATGGCGAACACACGAGCACGCCGCCAAGGCAGGAAAGGAGACGAGAGACAAGAGAGAGAAGAGGCTAAGGATCATGGCAGGCTGAGGAGAGCTGTGTGTGTAGAGAGGCTCACAGTTCCGGAGTCGACATCAAAGAAGCGGTAAAGCAAACGCAGCACCGTGGACTTGCCTGCAGAAGCAAACAGCCATGTGGGCATGGGATCGCAATGAACACGCAAGGAAAACGATGTGTGCATCCAGGTTAATATGCCAAAACATGCACGCAAATTGGGTCGAAACGAGGGAGAGAGAGTTGATAGGAAGAACGACAGTGGAGGAGTGGCAGAGCGAGGGATTTGAAATGTGGCAGATACTCGTTTGGAACTCTCAGAATGTGGCACGAGCGCACGTGTTCATGATGTGTCTGTGCACGCACTCACCACTGCCACTGGGCCCAACGATGGCAAGGCTCTTCCCTCCAGGCACATGCAGCGACACCCCATTCAGTATGGGCTTCTCGTCATGGTACCTGGTGCATGGGCGCATGGGGTGACAATCATTGAGTGAATGTGTGGACAACCACTCAAGGTGGTGGCAAACCAGTGGAAAACCACTCAAGGTGGGGGCAACCAGTGGAAAACCACTCCAGGTGGCGGCAAACCAGTGGAAAACCACTCTCAAGGTGGACGCAAAACAGTGGAAAACCACTCAAGGTGGCTGCAAACCAGCGGAAAACCACTCAAGGTTGCGGCAAACCAGCGGAAAACCACTCAAGGTGGCAGCAAACCAGTGGAAAACCACTCAAGGTGGCTGCAAACCAGTGGAAAACCACTCAAGGTGGCCGCAAACCAGTGGAAAACCACTCAAGGTGGCCGCAAACTAGTGGACAACCACTCAAGGTGGTGGCAAACCAGCGGAAAACCACTCAAGGTGGTGGCAAACCAGCGGAAAACCACTCAAGGTGGCAGCAAACCAGGGGGGATGCATAGGGGGGGAGGCATAGGGGGGGATGGGGGAGATGCATAAGGGGGGATGTGTAGAGGGGGATGCAAAGGGGTTGATGCATAAAGGGGGGGGCGGGAAGTGGTCCGGGAAGTGGACCGGGAAGTGGACCGGGAAGTGGACCGGGCAGTGGGCCAGGAAGAGGGCCGGGAAGTGGACCGGATAGTGGACCGGGACCAGGAAGTGGACCGGGAAGTGGACCGGGAAGTGGACCAGGAAGTGGACCGGGAAGAGGACCGGGAAGTGGACTGAGCAGTGGTCCGCGCAGTGGACCGGAAAGTGGACCAGGAAGAGGACCGGGAAGAGGACCGGGAAGTGGACAAGGAAGTGGACCAAGAAGTGGACCGGGAAGTGGACCGGGAAGAGGACCGGGAAGTGGACCGGGCAGTGGGCCGGGAAGAGGTCCGGGAAGTGGACCGGGAAGAGGACCCGGAAGCGGACCGGGCAGTGGGCCGGGAAGAGGGCCGGGAAGTGGACCGGGAAGTGGACCGGGTAGTGGACCGGGGAGTGGACTGGGAAGTGGACCGGGCAGTGGGCCAGGAAGAGGGCCCGGAAGTGGACCGGGTAGTGGACCAGGACCGGGAAGTGGACTGGGAAGTGGACCGGGAAGAGGACCCGGCAGTGGACCGGGCAGTGGACCGGGAAGTGGACCAGGAAGTGGACCGGGAAGTGGACCGGGAAGTGGACCGGGAAGTGGACCGGGCAGTGGATCGGGCAGTGGACCGGCAAGTGGACCGGGCAGTGGACCGGGAAGTGGACCGGGAAGTGGACTGGGAAGTGGACGGGGAAGAGGACTGGGAAGTGGACCGGGAAGTGGGCTGGGAAGTGGACCGGGAAGTGGACTGGGCAGTGGTCCGCGCAGTGGACCGGGAAGTGAACCGGGAAGAGGACCGGGAAGAGGACTGGGAAGTGGACCGGGAAGTTGACCGGGAAGTGGACAGGGAAGTGGACCGGGAAGAGGACCGGGAAGTGGACCGGGCAGTGGGCCAGGAAGAGGGCCGGGAAGTGGACTGGGAAGAGGACCGGGAAGTGGACCGGGCAGTGGTCCGGGAATAGGGCCGGGAAGTGGACTGGGAAGTGGACCGGGAAGTGGACCGGGAAGTGGACCGGGTAGTGGACCGGGAGCGGGAAGTGGATTGGGAAGTGGACCGGGAAGTGGACCGGAAGTGGGCTGAGAAGTGGACCGGGAAGTGGACCGGGACCGGGAAGTGGACAGGGAAGTGGACCGGGAAGTGGGCCGGGAAGTGGACCGGGAAGTGGACCGGGTAGTGGACCGGGACCCGGGAAGTGGACCGGGAAGTGGACCTGGCAGTGGACCAGGAAGTGGAGCGCGCAGTGGAGCGGGCAGTGGAGCGGTAAGTGGACCGGGCAGTGGACCGGGCAGTGGACCGGGATTTAGACCGGGAAGTGGACCGGGCAGTGGACCGGGCAGTGGACGGGGAAGTGGACCGGGCAGTGGACGGGGAAGTGGACCGGGCAGTGGACGGGGAAGTGGACCGGGCAGTGGACAGGGCAGTGGATCAGACAGTGGACCGGGCAGTGGGCCGGGAAGTGGGCCGGGAAGTGGACCGGGAAGTGGACCGGGAAGTGGACCGGGAAGTGGACCGGGCAGTGGACCGGGCAGTGGACCGGGCAGTGAACCGGGAAGTTGAGCGGTAAGTGGACCGGCAAGTGGACCGGCAAGTGGACCGAAAAGTGGACCGGGAAGTGGAACGGGAAGTGGACTGGGAAGTGGACCGGGAAGTGGACTGAGCAGTGGTCCGCGCAGTGGACCGGAAAGTGGACCAGGAAGAGGACCGGGAAGAGGACCGGGAAGTGGACAAGGAAGTGGACCAAGAAGTGGACCGGGAAGTGGACCGGGAAGAGGACCGGGAAGTGGACCGGGCAGTGGGCCGGGAAGAGGTCCGGGAAGTGGACCGGGAAGAGGACCCGGAAGCGGACCGGGCAGTGGGCCGGGAAGAGGGCCGGGAAGTGGACCGGGAAGTGGACCGGGTAGTGGACCGGGGAGTGGACTGGGAAGTGGACCGGGCAGTGGGCCAGGAAGAGGGCCCGGAAGTGGACCGGGTAGTGGACCAGGACCGGGAAGTGGACTGGGAAGTGGACCGGGAAGAGGACCCGGCAGTGGACCGGGCAGTGGACCGGGAAGTGGACCAGGAAGTGGACCGGGAAGTGGACCGGGAAGTGGACCGGGAAGTGGACCGGGCAGTGGATCGGGCAGTGGACCGGCAAGTGGACCGGGCAGTGGACCGGGAAGTGGACCGGGAAGTGGACTGGGAAGTGGACGGGGAAGAGGACTGGGAAGTGGACCGGGAAGTGGGCTGGGAAGTGGACCGGGAAGTGGACTGGGCAGTGGTCCGCGCAGTGGACCGGGAAGTGAACCGGGAAGAGGACCGGGAAGAGGACTGGGAAGTGGACCGGGAAGTTGACCGGGAAGTGGACAGGGAAGTGGACCGGGAAGAGGACCGGGAAGTGGACCGGGCAGTGGGCCAGGAAGAGGGCCGGGAAGTGGACTGGGAAGAGGACCGGGAAGTGGACCGGGCAGTGGTCCGGGAATAGGGCCGGGAAGTGGACTGGGAAGTGGACCGGGAAGTGGACCGGGAAGTGGACCGGGTAGTGGACCGGGAGCGGGAAGTGGATTGGGAAGTGGACCGGGAAGTGGACCGGAAGTGGGCTGAGAAGTGGACCGGGAAGTGGACCGGGACCGGGAAGTGGACAGGGAAGTGGACCGGGAAGTGGGCCGGGAAGTGGACCGGGAAGTGGACCGGGTAGTGGACCGGGACCCGGGAAGTGGACCGGGAAGTGGACCTGGCAGTGGACCAGGAAGTGGAGCGCGCAGTGGAGCGGGCAGTGGAGCGGTAAGTGGACCGGGCAGTGGACCGGGCAGTGGACCGGGATTTAGACCGGGAAGTGGACCGGGCAGTGGACCGGGCAGTGGACGGGGAAGTGGACCGGGCAGTGGACGGGGAAGTGGACCGGGCAGTGGACGGGGAAGTGGACCGGGCAGTGGACAGGGCAGTGGATCAGACAGTGGGCCGGGCAGTGGACCGGGAAGTGGGCCGGGAAGTGGACCGGGAAGTGGACCGGGAAGTGGACCGGGAAGTGGACCGGGCAGTGGACCGGGCAGTGGACCGGGCAGTGAACCGGGAAGTTGAGCGGTAAGTGGACCGGCAAGTGGACCGGCAAGTGGACCGAAAAGTGGACCGGGAAGTGGAACGGGAAGTGGACTGGGAAGTGGACCGGGAAGTGGACCGGGAAGTGGACCGGCAGTGGACCGGGCAGTGGACCGGGCAGTGGACCGGGCAGTGGACCGGGAAGTGGAGCGGGAAGTGGATCGGGAAGTGGACTGGGAAGTGGAACGGGAAGTGGACCGGGCAGTGGACCAGGCAGTGGACCGGGAAGTGGACCGGGAAGTGGACCGGGCAGTGGACTGGGGGGATGCATAGGGGGGGGATGCATAGGGGGGGATGCATAGGTGGGGGATGCATAGGGGGGATGCATAGGTGGGGGATGCATAGGGGGGGATGCATAGGTGGGGGATGCATAGGGGGGGATGCATAGGTGGGGGATGCATAGGGGGGGATGCATAGGGGGGATGCATAGGGGGGGATGCATAGGGGGGATGCATCAGGGGGATGCATAGGGGGGGATGCATAGGGGGGATGCATAGGTGGGGGATGCATAGGGGGAGATGCATAGGGGGGGGATGCATAGGGGGGGATGCATAGGTGGGGGATGCATAGGGGGGGATGCATAGGTGGGGGATGCATAGGGGGGGATGCATAGGGGGGGATGCATAGGGGGGGATGCATAGGTGGGGATGCATAGGGGGGGATGCATAGGGGGGGATGCATAGGTGGGGATGCATAGGTGGGGATGCATAGGTGGGGATGCACTCAAGGTGGCGGCAAACGAGTGCAAGACCACTCAAGGTGGCGGCAAACCAGTGAAATACCACTCAAGTTGGCGGCAAACCAGTGCAAAACCACTCACGGTGGTGGCAAACCAGTGGAAAAACACTCCAGGTGGCGGCAAACCAGTGGAAAACCAAGGTGTGCATGCATACAGGATACAGGGCATGCAAAGTATGGATGCATCATGCATTCGCATGGTGGCCCCAGGAAAGGCCTCCATACATGGCAACGCGTTGAGGGCTCCATAAGATACCAGGGGCTTCACTCGCAACGGTAGCTTATACTGGAAGAACAGAAAATGGCCCTCAGAGCCCCTGTCGTCCAAAACCAAGAGCAGCCACGTGGCCACTGTATGGACCAGCACAAGAGTGGCATGTAGCACATGTGCATGCACACACCCGAATGTGACGTTATCGAGGGTGATGCTGGAGTCCCTGAGCTCCAGTGGGCGCGCATCAGGGCAGTCCGAAACGGAGGGCTTCAACTGTAGGGAGGACAGGAGGGGAGAGGCGGGGGGGGGTGGGAGGAGAGGAGAGAGGAGAGGGGGACGGAGGAGTTCAACTGGGGTAGAGAGAGGAGACGGGTTGGGGGAAGGGGGGTGGTGGAGCTGCTTTTCAATGCAACAAGCTCCACAAATCAACCGGAAGAAGTTCTCATGCGTATCAGTCAGGAATCCAGACAGCGCGCATCAAACCCCCAGACTACCAGGTCAAGCACCCAGCCCCCAACTCCGGTCCCCCCCCTGCCCCACCTGCAGGAGGTTGAACATGTGGTGCATGTCGATGAGGCTCTGCCTGGTCTCACGGTACACGCTGCCCAGGAAGTTGAGCGGCAGCGACAGCTGGAACAGCAGCCCGTTCACCATCACCTGGGGGGGGGAGGGGGGAAGGACCAGTCAGGCAAGGGAGGGGTGGGGAAAGGGGGGGTGTTTGGGGGGGGTTTCAGGCATGGTTTGGCAACCATGCCGCACGGGCAGTACCCGTGCCTCTCTTCCCTCCCTCTCCCACCCTGAACAACCACAGAACACTACCCACCCCCCAATGCCGTCACCTTCCAACACTCAACTTCCCACGCGCATGCATGCCCCGACCCCATCCCCCATCCTTCCACCCCGACTCACGAGGTCACCAATGGTCATGTGGCCGGCGGCGATGCCATCCCCGCACATGACCATGGTGTAGGCCAGAGCCGCGCTGAAGATGGCGTTCTGCCCGAAGTTGAGCAGCGACAGACTGCTCTGCGTCTTGCGCGCCGCCCCCTCGTAGCCTGCCACGCAGGGGGAGAGGGGAGGGAGAGGGAGAGAGGGAGAGAGAGGGGTGCGATTCCATTGCGGTACAGGTGGACATAGTGAGAGCGAACGCGCGTCATGAAGAAACGGGAAGAAGAGACAGAGGATGGGGTTAAAGGGGAGCTGCTGGACGGCGTCCACCGGTGGGTGGTGGACGGTGGACGGTGGATGGCGTCCACCGGTGGGCAGCGGGCCGTGGACGGTGGACGGCGTCCACCGGCGGGCGGTGGACGCTGGACGGTGTTCACCCGCGGACGGTGGACGGTGGACGGTGGACAGTGGACGGAGGACGGTGTCCACCGGTGGGTGGTGGACGGTGGATGGCGTCCACCGGTGGGCGCTGGACGGTTGACGGTGGACGGCGTCCATCGGCAGGCGGTGGACGGTGGACGGTGGACGGATGACGTCCACCGGTGGGCGGTGGAAGGTGGACGGTGGATGGTGGATGGCGTCCACCGGTGGGCGGTGGACGGTGGACGGTGGACGGCGTCCACCGATGGGCGGTGGATGGTGGACGGAGGATGGCGTCCACCGGTGGGGAGTGGACGGTGGACGGTGGGCAGTGGAAGGCGTCCACAGATGGGCAGTAGATGGTGGACGGAGGACGGCGTCCACCGGTGGGCGGTGGACGGTGGATGGCGTCCACCGGTGGGCGCTGGACGGTTGACGGTGGACGGCGTCCATCGGCAGGCGGTGGACGGTGGACGGGGTGTACGGCGTCCACCGGCGGGCGGTGGGTGGTGGACGGTGGACGGTGGATGGTGGACGGCGTCCACGGGCAGACGGTGGGCGGCGGATGGTGGACAACGTCCACTGGTGGGGGGTGGACGGTGGACGGAGGACGGCGTCTACCGGTGGGCGGTGGACGATGGACGGCGTCCACCGGTGGCCGATTGACGGTGGTGGGCAGTGGACGGTGGACGGCATCCACCGGTGGGCGGTGGACGGTGGACAGTGGACGATGGATGGCGTCCACCGGTGGGCGGTGGGCGGTGGGCGGTGGACGATGGACTGTGGACGGCGTCCACCGGCGGGCGGTGGACGGTGGACGGCGTCCACCGGTGGGTGGTGGACCGTGGAATGGACGGCGTCTACCGGTGGGCGGTGGACGGTGGACGGCGTCCACTGGTGGCCGGTGGACGGTGGTGGGCTGTGGACGGTGGATGGCATCCACCGGTGGGAGGTGGACGGTGGACGGTGGATGGCGTCCACCGGTGGGCGGTGGGCCGTGGACGGTGGACAGCGTCCACCGGCGGGCGGTGGACGCTGGACGGTGTTCACCCGCGGGCGGTGGACGGTGGACGGTGGACAGTGGACGGAGGACGGCGTCCACCGGCGGGTGGTGGACAGTGGACAGTGGACGGCGTCCACCGGCGGGCGGTGGACGGTGGACGGTGGACGGCGTCCACCAGCGGGCGGTGGACCGTGGACGGCGGTGCTGGCGGTGGACGGTGGACGGAGGACAGCGTCTACCAGTAGCAGTGGACGGTGGGCGGCGTCCAACGGTGGCCGGTGGACGGTGGTGGGCGGTGGACGGTGGATGGCATCCACCGGTGGGCGGTGGACGGTGGACGGTGGACGGTTGATGGCGTCCACCGGTGGGTGGTGGACGGTGGACGGCGTCCACCGGCGGGCGGTGGACGGTGGACGGCGTCCACCGGCGGGCGGTGGACGGTGGACGGCGTCCATCAGCGGGCAGAGGACGGTGGACGGTGGACGGTGGACGGTGGATGGCGGGATAAGGGATGGCTGGGGAAGGTGACCTGATGCAGGGAAGGGCGGGAATGAGTCTCAGGGGTAGGCGGAAAGGGGACCGGGAGAGGAAGTGGCAGAGGAGGGGAGGGGAACATGGGGGGAGGGAGGGTGAGAGCGGGAAATGGAAGAGGGAAGGGGCGAGAGGAGCAGAGCAGAGAGGACGTACGTTGGAGGAACTTATCGTACATGGCGGCCTCGTGCTCCTCGTTGTTGAAATACTTCACCGTCTGCATGCGCCGTGTGGGATGAAGGCCCATCACCGAAGGGGGGAAGGGGAAAGAAGATGGGGGGGGAAGGGGGCGGGTGGTTGGTAAATTATCATTCAGTCTACGAGGGGTGATAGTGATGATAGCATGTGGCATGTGAGTGCACACGGATGTGATGGTTGGTCGTGGAAAAAGGGAACCCGATGGGCCGAGAGGCCACATGTTTTTGAGAATTCTCAAAAACACCCGGCCACATGTTGCATTGCATGACACATGCTTTCCATGCCACATCCCTAGCCCATGCCACATCCCTATCCCATGCCACATCCCTAGCCCATGCCACATGGATCATAAGAAAGACAGCAGACATCCAATTCTCTCTCTCCCTTAATCATTGCTCCCTCCTCTCTTGCCTCCTCCCCGTTCCCCTCAACACCACCTAACCATCTCTCTTCCCCCCACCCCCACCTTCCTACTCCCTCATTCCCCCATCTCTCTACCCCCCTCCCCTCCCCAGTTCCCCTTGCTCCCTCCCCTCGCTCCTTCCTTCCCCCTTCCTTCCCCCCGTTCTTGCCCTCCCCCTCTCTCCTCCCCTCCCCCCCCCCCCCCCCCCACCTCGTAGTTGATGAGTGAGTCGATGGCGCGCGAGCTGCTGTCGTTGTCCGCCTTGTTCATCTGCTGGCGGAACTTGGTGCGCCACTGGAGACACAGGGGGCACACAGGACGTGGGGTGACGAGAGCCGAGGGGAGAAGTGAAGGACAGGAGGAAGCTTGAGTATTCACGGAGGGGATGCGGAGCACAGGTGAGGAAGTGCAGTGCGAACAGTAAGAGGGGAAATGGGAAGAAGAGGGAGAGGGAAGGAGGGATGAGGACACACTGGAAGAAGAGAGGCAGGGGAGGAGCAGTGCGAAAAAGGCGCACCTGGGTGATTCCAAGAGTGAAGGCGGTGTATGCGGTGACTGTTGCTGCTGTGACAACAGCGAAGGACGGGCCAAACTTGTACGCCAGGATGCTTGACACAAGACCGATCTAAGAAAGCAACGGATGGGACAAGGGGGAGGGAGGAGAGAGATGGAGAGGGATGGAGTTGAGGTAAGGCGTCTGGTCAGTTTCACACAAAAAGGAAGGCGAGATAGAGGGGAAGCATGACTGGGAAACCACACACGATGGAGCGAGAGCGGTGAGAAAGCAAGCTCGGCGCTAACAAACGGCAAGAAAGGGGGCAAAGGGGTTGTGTGGGCGGGATCGGAAGGGGGCTCAAAGAGCAGGTGGGAGTGGCAAAGCAAGTGAGGGGCGACGTGGGAGGGGCGAGGGCGGAGCAGGGACCTCGAGCAGGGTGGGGAAGACGTTGAAGAGCATGGACGAGAGGATGAAGTTGATGGCGCGCGTGCCGCGGTCTATCGTGCGGTTCAGCGCTCCCGTCTGCCGGCTGGGGGGGGAGAGGAGTGGGGTTGTCAGGGGGAGTGGAGTGGGGCAGAGGAGCGTGTGAACGTGGTGCAAGTGCGGGCTCGTGGTGTGGGAGCGGGGGACAGTGGCGGGCGGTGACGGGCGGTGAGTCAGTGACGGGGGTGGCAGGCGGTGGCGGGTGATGGCGGGCGGTGACGGGCGGTGGTGGGCGGTGACAGGCGGTGACGGGTGATGGCGGGCGGTGGCGGCCGGTGGCAAGCGGTGACGGGCGACGACGTGGAGTGGCCCGCAACGGGTAGTGACGGGTGGAGGAAGGGGGGGGGTGTTGGGTGTTGGGTGTGTGGGGGTGAGGGGAAAGGGGCAGAGAGAGGGGGGGAGAGGGGGGGTGAGCAAGAGAGAGTGTGTGCGTGTGTGAAGGATGGGGTGTGAGGCGACCTGAGGTGGAAGGAGAGGTCCATGTCGTGCAGGTGCAGGAACACCTGCCTCGCCACCTTGCGGATCGTGCCCTGCGCCACGTTCGCAAACACCGCATTGCGCAGCTCTGCCAGGGGACCAACACGGACCAACACGGACCCCGAAAAGTCAGAGACACACAACGGAACAGTCCAGAAATGTTCAGAGTGTGGCTTTCCCCCAGCCCCCTAAGCCACACACCCCAAGCGAGCCGCACCATTGCAGGCAGAGGCGCCAGCGCGGGCGAGGCCGTAGCCAAGGAGCATGGCGGAGGGCGTGGTGAAGAGTGCGAAGAACAGCGGGTCCGAAGCCGCTGCCGCTGCTGCAGCTGCCGCAGTGGCGCCTGTGGCTCCTGCTGCTGCTGACAGGCTGTCGATGGCGTGCTTGAAGAGAAAGGGCACCTGGATGTTCAATAGCTGCAGGCACCAGGCAGAGGGGGGGGTGGCGGGCGGTTGCAGCAGACAACGCGATGTGAGTGGCGAGATGTGGCAAGGAGTGGCGAGATGTGGCAAGGAGTGGCGAGATGTGGCAAGGAGTGGAGAGACAGCATGATGGAAGAGTATTTGCAACGTGGAGCAAAATGCGACTCAAACCTTCCAGACCAGAGGACTCATGGCTTATACACAAAGCCCCCACCCTACACCCTAAACCCTGAACCCTGACCCTAAGCCCTAACCTGAACCCTGAACTTAAAACCCTGAACCCTGAACCCCCTCCTCTCCACCTGTCCTGCCCCCGCGCGCCCCACCTTAGCGGAGACGAGCAGCGTGAGGGCAGCGGCGACACGGCGGCGGTAGTCGGGGTTGTCCTTGGGCCACAGGTACTGCACGAGCGAGCTCAGGATCGCCATGTCCGACGCCTCCTCCCCGCCTGCCGCTGCTGCCACCGCACCCCCCGCACCACCCTTCACACCCCCGCCCACTGCCGCCCCTGGGCCCTCCTTCCCCATGACTGCCGTCCCTGCGTCTACCCTTCCCTCCCCTGTCTTTTCTGCACTGCTAGCAGCCTCCTTGCCCTCCCCCAACCTAGACATGCTAACTGCCGCTTTGCCTCTCCCCCCACCTGCTGCACCAGCTGCTGCTGCACCTTCCGTGCCGGCCCCAACCCTCCCCCCTTCCTTCCCATCTGAGCCGCTCGTGAAAGGAACGGCCCAGCGCGGGTGATAGGGAAGTGAGGCAGGGGTTATAGCGGATGCTGGGGCTGCACTTGGCGGGGACAGTGGGGAGTGAAGGGGAGCGGAAGCGGGGTGCAGGAGTGATGCTGTGTGTGGAAGCGCGGAGGGGGAGAGGAGCGAGGTGGGAGCGTGGGGGTGGAGTGAGGGGAGGCGGGAGGAGGGCGCAAGGGCAGCAGAGCGCGGTAGAGGCGGGCAGCAAGGGTCCTGCGGTGGTGTGAGATGCTGGGAGGGAGGGAGGGGGGGGGGGGGGAGGAGAGGGGCACAAGGGGTTGCGGGTGAGGAGGGTTGGATGGGAGAGGGAAAGCGGCTCGAATAGACTGGGAAGATCTGGGGAGCAAGGGGAAGAGAAACGGGAAAGGGGAAAGGGGAAGGACGAGAGGAAGCAAGCGGGTAACGGGGAGCGTGGCAGGGGCAACTGAGAGCATGGTGCGTCAAGAGCGCGAGTATGGCTGAGGATGATCAGCAGCGAGAAAAAGCGGCAGGGGGGGGCGCGACTGACCAGCAAATGTGCCGCAGCCGCTGCTTCTCGACTGCCACGCTTCGCCCACATGTCTGCACCGCACCCAGCGTGCGGCCCAGGTCTCGCCACCTCAGATGCCGCATCACAGAGCCGCATCGACGTCAATCTTCTCCACCCGCTGACCGCTTGCGCTGTTCCCTCCGCAACCCACTCCGCACTTGCCGGTACTTCTGCTGCCCTGCCCGTGTCCTTTAACGATCCGGTGGCTCGCGAGCACCGTTGACCACCGGTGTGGCGCCACGTGTCACCCGACCACTCAACGACATCGCGGGCTGATCGCCGCCACGAGTCCGCGCCCCGAATCCCGCGGGCTCCAGCACCGCCGTTGCTGCCGCCGGCGCCGCCGCTGCCGCTACCCTTGGCGGCCCGCGTGCCGCATCTGTAGATCGCGCAACGGAGCGAGCTCCACGTGGGCATGAGGGGAGAACGAGAGGTCGAGAGGTGGAGAGATAGGGAGCGAGCGACCTAATCCACACGAGGAAGTGAGTAAGATCAGGGGGCGGAGTCGTCGCAGGGCGAACGACGAACGACGGAAGTCAATGGCGGCGCGGAGACGAGGTGCGGTGATGAGGTGATGGCGGAAGGGAGTCGCGGGGAGATCCGGGGGGATCTGACGGACAAGATTGTAGAGCGGGTGGCGGATCCCCCTTGGTGGACGCGGAGAGAGGCGGAGGGAAGCGAAAGGCGAGAGGCGAGCCCGCGGCGGGAGTGGCGCGTGTGGCGGCGAGTGGTGAGGGAGAGGCGGTGAGGTGGAGAGAGGGACAAGCGCGTAAAACCCGCCGGAGTGTATTGTTGTCAGGCTGAAATCCGCTCCAGATTGTTCCGGAAATACGCGCTATCGTCAAGTACACGCAAACGTTTTGGCTCCTTTAAGGAAATGGTATTTAATTTTGGCTCCTTTATCACGGGGTTCAGTAAGTAAGGCGTACACTGCTATAACGGGGTTGCCGCGCAGCTCTGCCACGAGATTCAAATCGCAGTACCAAATGTGGTCTCCTGACGAGCCGCATACATTATTGCCCGCCTTGCTGTTGCATGCCTAGATCTGGGTGCTTCGCCCCAATTTACGAACCACATGTCGCAGCTCTGCCGAGCCACGACTGTGTGCTCCTAGGCTAGCTATATGTTAGAATACGAGAATGTTTTACTAGTGTGAGAAACCTAGAACAAATACCTGTTGGGGTTGTACTCACTAGAAGCATACACCTAGGCTAGCATATAACTTCTACATGCAACATATGTATAAGTTGACACACCCCCTAGGCTAGAGAAGGGGTGGCGCTAAGCAAGAAGAATACAGCTCAGGGTGGCACTACTAGTCCAACCACCGAGACAGGGGTTTGGAGACCAGTCAGCAAAAGTACAAACAAGTCTAAAGCAAGCCATGGCGGCACTACTAGTCCAGCCACTGGAGGTAAAGCCACAAGGCCAGTCAGACAGGTATATATAGTAGAGAGGGGCACGACCGGCGCGGCGCGAGCGCTGCTGCGAGTGCACGGCAGCGGCAGTCTCGGTCAGAGGGGTCGCAGTGGCGACCGCAGCCGAAACGTCAGTAAACGTGCACTGGGAGGGGGCACAGCCGTGAAAGATAGAGACTGCCGGTGCACCGCTCGACTGAGCGATAGTGCGCTGGCGAGTCTCGATCTCGGTCAGGGCGGTGACAAAGGCTGTCAGGGTGAGGTCACCGGGGTGCTGGCTAAGGATGTGGTCGCGGGCACTAGCAAGGCGGTCAGGCAGGCGCATAGCGGTCAGGCAGGCACTATATCCATGCTCCCTGCTGTTTTTATGTTGCCTCAGTTGTATCATTGCCTCGCTAATCAATCCTTCGACATACGCTCTTTGCGCTTCATTACACCTTCCAAATAAGCAGCCTGATGGCCATGTTGTAGTTTCCAAACATGTTTATCCAATTGCTCAACCGTAACACACGAGGTTGGTGCGGTGCTTTAAATTTTGTCCTGTACACATCTACGGTATGCCTGCACACGCCGTGTATATAGCCAATCAACAAGCACGTGCATACTGTTTTGATAGATGAAGTTTTGCATTCCTGCAAGTTCCGTTTTCAGTGTAGTTAGCAGTATCGAGTTTCTCGGTAAGGAAACAGGTCCGAGTGATGACGTCACCAAAGCATCATGCGTCTCGGGATTACGTCAGCATACCGCTTCAGTTACGCGAATAGGCGTAACGAGTCGTTTCAGTCATGCGAACAGTCGCGACTCTATAGTATGACGAATAGGTCGCATAGCGCGCAACTAGCCGAACAAGTACTTTCCCTAGAGCTATAAATCCTTGTAATGCCTTTCTATTATTAACCTTGACTTTCCACAGAGTTATGTGCTCAGGTTATTCAACCTTCGACTACCCACAAGTTCATGTGCTCAGGTTCACTCATATAAGACTTCCGCTGTCTTACTAGTCTACCATTCCAGCAAAGATCCTTGGTTAAGTACTCGTGTTTGCAGATTCTATACATAGTCTCCTTCGACACCTGCCGAATTATTACATGGTATGAGAGCTGTCTGGGATTAAGACTACTGCCAAAATGACTGGAACAACACCAGCGCAATCTACCAGATCTACTTCCGGAACTACTGGAGTACCTGTCTCCACGACCGCCACTGGTCTTTCAGCCTCTGGACCGTTTCCACCGGCTTATGCGAACATCGGTATGCAGCAGCAGCGGAATCCGCCTTCTGTCAGCACTCCAGGTATTTCATCGACTATACCTGCAGCACAACAACAACAAACACAGTTAACAGCACAGCAACAAGCATCAGCACAACCAGAGTTTTCAACACAGTCTATATCGTCGGCGTTCAGTGGAATGAGCCTTGACGGCTCGATTTATATGCGTGGAGCCTCTGCTCCAAGTACTGGCTCATTTGCCTACTCACCTTTTACGCAGCAGCCGCAGTCGCAACAGCAGCAGCCTTTTTACATCTTCGGGCGATCACCTGCTCAGCAGCAACAACAGCAAAGGCAGCAACAGCCACAGCAATTTCAGCAACAACAACAACAGGGTATTATTTTTTAACCACCAAATTTGCTTAACAGCACGCAGATCAAGACCACTATACCTTTTAACGGAGTTGATTTTTACTCCTGAAGCTTCGAGTTCGAGCTTCTGGCGCAGTCTGCTGGGCTATGGCCGTTCTTCATCGGCGAGTTTACATATCCTGTTACGGGAATACAACTGGAGTAGCAGAGTTTCTTGCACGCCTCTCTCGAGGCGTATACAGTTCTTGTTCGAAACTTATCGTCAAAGGAGCAGGTCGGCGTTCGATCTTTCCATTGCAGCTTTACGCTGGCTGAAACTGCATGGAGACACTTAAAAGGGGTGTATATGGCGCAGGACACAATCACAGTGAGTAAAATTCTTTCGCAGCTGACAAATGTGCAGATGATGACAAACAAGAATGTTATGGATTACGTCAATCGCGTCCGTACACTACGAGATCAACTGGAGAAGAGTGGGGGATACTTCCCTCGTGAGATGTAACTCACGGTCCTTCTTGCTGGCCTTGGACCCGAGTGGCGACAAACGCGCGCCTTCCTGCGCATGAATCCAAACCTCTCCGAAGCCGAGATTTCTTCGTATCTTCAAGTAGAGCAGCAAGATCTTGATCTTCAAGCTGCACGCAACAAAAAGGGGGATATACAACTCAGCTTGTATTCAACACCAATTCGATGTCCTCAATACTTCTGTCAGATTTGCAACAAGGGAGGACATACTACCAACCGATGCTATTTTAAGAAGAGGTATTTACCTCCTGAAGAATCGCAGCAGTCGCAATCATTACAGCAACTACGACAGCCTTCGAAGCAGTCTTTGCAGCAGCCTGCACCTCCAAAAGCAACATCTGCAATATCAAAAACACCAACGTCACTCAGCTGTGCTCTTCCAAGCACGACATCAAAGCCGCTCGACACTAATTCAACCTCTACCAACAAAACGGTAACTTCAAATTTTTTCTTACCGACTGCAAACACTCACATGACTGGTTGCAGTACAGATACCGATACTTGGTACTTGGATAATTGTTGTGGCCACCACATGGTCTCTTAAAAAAATCCTTTCATCTACAACCGTCGTCGACTTCTTCAATCCTGCCCAATCACACTCGCCAACGGTCAAACAATTGCACCATAAAATATCGGCAGTATCCTTTTGACACCAATCGATACAGGAAACTCTTCACACCTTACCAACGTTTTACTCGTCGAGAACATAGGCTTCAATTTAGTGTCAACTAACCAACTCTTGAAGAAGAAAATCCGCACGGTCTGAAAATGCACGGCACAAAGGCAGGAGTTAATACATGATGTGGACAACACGTACATCGGAAGAGCAGCAACAAAAAAATGGCGTATTCGTTTTACGCTTCAAGGCAGCAATGTTGAGTGACCCGCTGGGGTTGCCCTTGAGATCCTCGGGGAAGGGCCACAGGTGCAGAGCCTGGGGGGCTATGGGCGCACTTACCCGCTATTCAACAAGCCCTTTTAACCCAGTGGTTAGTGACTGGGTTTCTGACAAGCAAAACCTTCTGAAGATGCCACTCCTCTTCAAGCTCCATCCATCATCGCAGCAATAGCTTTGGTAACCACTCCACCAATGGACTTCAGCAGCATCGAAGAAGAAAATCCAAGTAGCAGCACCACCGACATCCTTGCCGACACACCTGCCGTTAATATCAAGGAAGATATTAGTCAAGAACACGAGGAAAATCTGCAACCTCGTACCTGAATTATTCTTCGACGCTACAACTACTCTCGACAAGCCTTCTGACAATTCTTCAACTACCCCTCTCCCAGAGAAAGGTTATGCACTCTCAAGGTTTTTACTCCCTTCATATTTCATACTCTTACTACTTGCTTGGCTGTCCATAGCAGCAAGCGAGCTCAGTACCCCGCTGCAGACTTTCCTATACTACAGAGAAGCCGATTATCGCACTACGACCTCCAACGACTACGAGCAATGCATGGGCATCAACTGCTACCCAACCCCTCGTCATCGCGTTCAACAATGCAACGAAGCAGAACGGTTGAACAGTATCCTACACGAGCTACGTGAGCAGCTGCATGCACTGCTGACTCAACCAATTTCTCTGCCCGAAACTGCACCATCAGATCTGCCCGCCACTTCACGATCCTTTGTCAAGCCTCCAAATGATGTCGAGGCTCCACTCCACCACGTGCAACACTCTCGTGGTTTTGCATTCATCCCCTTCGACCTTGCCACGTTCATTGGCGCAACCCTAACCACTTTCAACCCGACTCATTTTCGCTCCGCCGAAGCGAGGGGGGGAAGGAGGATCTACACGCACTTCGTCAAAGCCAAAATTCGTTATCAACAAGGGAAGAACGCGATAGGTCTACCATTTGACCAATGGAATGACCGTCGACTACTTACAACACATGAAGTTTACACGTCACAAGATTCCAAATTGTAGATTTCATTCGCCGGACTCCAACCACGACGTGACTACATCGAACTTCCAGGAATGAAGGGGAATGTTGTGATAAATGAAGTTTTGCATTCCTGCAAGTTCCGTTTTCAGTGTAGTTAGCAGTATCGAGTTTCTCGGTAAGGAAACAGGTCCGAGTGATGACGTCACCAAAGCATCATGCGTCTCGGGATTACGTCAGCATACCGCTTCAGTTACGCGAATAGGCGTAACGAGTCGTTTCAGTCACGCGAACAGCCGCGACTCTATAGTATGACGAATAGGTCGCATAGCGCGCAACTAGCCGAACAAGTACTTTCCCT